GAAAATTCAACCTAAATAGAGAAAAGATTCTTTAAAGCTTTGAAATCTCTATATATAAAAATTAATTGCTGTTCGTTAGTCTCGCTAAAACTCGAGAACGGCTGAACTAGGAGTGGGTGATATAAATCGTATATAGATTCAATATCTATATATCGCAGCAATATCGTTGAATCCGATATCGCCCCGCACGAAATCTATATATCGATATCAGCCGATACACGATATTGCTCGATGTGATGCGCATCGGCATCGTGGCATATCGTACCGATTCGTGAATCGAAATCTATATTTCGATATCAGCCGATACACGATATTGCTCGATATGCGCATCGGCATATCGTACCGATTCGTTAATATCAGCAATATTCGTTTGGTTCGTATCGAATCGGCCAGAGTGAGTGAGCGCACGATAGGGATATCATGTGATGAATGAAACAGAAACAGGCATTATCCATACAATTGTAAACCTTATATTTAAGTCCATATGTCTGTAGATTATTCTTAGCGTATCAGCAGGATACAATTAAGGAAAGAAGTTTCAACTTTCGACCCTAACTTGAATGCAGTATAGCCTATTTGCATCGTTGAATTTAATTTCACGCGCTTTGACCTTGAACTAGAATTTTTGGACAAGTGTTTATAAATACTTAAAAGTTTTTTGTGTTTGATTTTTAAAGTACACATTTTTCTATTTTTAGTTGAATCCAAATAATTGAGTTTATTTCTTGTGTTTGTATTAAACTTTTGAAATCTACACTCTTTTGGTATATTTTGTAATTTTAAATTAAGACACAAAATACTAAAAACTGAAAATAATGTAGCCAGTCCTAAGCCTGGTAAAAGCATGAAGGAAAGTTTTTTTGATATTTTTATTTTCATGTTCTTTTTATTACTTTAAGATCATATTATAAATTGATATCAGAAAACCAACCGTATAACGTTGACTTAAATCTATATCTACTACGATATTATATCAGCGTAACGTTTCAAATCTCAAATATCATGAATCGAGAAAATCTACTGATCTCTGATGGATGCTATCAATATATAGATTCAGAAAATATATAGATTCAATATCCGATATTGATCCTCGATATATAGATACGATTCGATACGCGGCAAAACCGATATTACCCACTCCTAGGCTGAACCGATTTGGCTAATTTTGGTCTTGAATTATTTGTCGAAGTCCAGAGAAGGTTTTAAAGGTAAAAAAATATGAAAATGCTGGGAATTAAATAAAAATAACAATTTTGTTTTTCCTTTGATGTGTCCCCCGTCGGACCGATTCCTCTTGTTTATTTTATACAAAAGTTTAGGTCTTTTATTTATCGATTGAGGGACTACGAAGTCTGCCGGGTCAGCTAGTAATTAATAAAAATTTAAATAATATATTTCTTTTACTTACTGAGAATGATGTGGTATCAGATTTATCTATAAAACTATATTGTAATAACTTATATGCTTTAGTCGTGTGGCCTAGACTAGCAGCTGGCGACTCGCAAGCTGGTTCACCCATTTACCCTATAAATAACTATGTTTTATTGCCATTCTTTTTCGCTAATATAAGATTAATAGTATATATGTAATTTTCTATGTCAGTGGTGTGAAACACGGCATGTTATGTCATTAAAACAATAATAATATTATAATAAACAGCACTGGTTCCTAACATTTGTTTTGTATTGTGAAAACAGTCTTAAATCTTCCTGGTCTAATTGGAACTAAGGAAGACCGAAATTGTACATTCGATTCTTGCTTTTGAAACTATGTAACAAAGGACTCGTGGTTTTTTTGGTTCTCGGCTGTTAATGATATACCAATTCATTATCATTACTTTGCAACAGAAATAAAAGTAGTACAATGATACAAAAGTGGATACCTTGTAGTTTCAGAACACGAACGATCTTCTCCCTTTCCCACTGATTTTGCCGGCGACTTGGCACTTCTGTCCTGACTAAGCAGCAGTCTCTAGAACACCCGCGATAATTCCAACCCAAAAAAAAGTTTCATAAAATATTCAAGTTTTTATTGTCACCCTACATTAGTTATTGTACCGTGACATGCAAATGGAAACACACTGTTCTCGTTTCATTTGTGTGCTGTAACTAGGTTTATAGTTTATCGCGTGAATTCGTCCATTCTTATAACGTGCTATTTAGATTCAGTATCGTGAAGCATAGGCTAGTTGCGTATGCCTTAGATTTACATACTACCTACGGCCTACGTGTTTGTAAACAAGACGGTGTAGGTACGTGTTTAGGAGGATTGTCGTTATTTTCTGATCCTCCTGCTTGCGTCGATGATCCTCAATGCTGAGGGTCGTGGCCTTCTTTAATAAAAAATAAAAATAGTAAACTTTTATTTCAAGACATCAAAGTCTCATAGTGTGTTAGTATTACAAACAACTTAAGAACTATGTTAGTATTTAAATAAATCTATCAACTCCGTCCCTGGCAGCCTCATCAAGCAGCATGTAGAACATGCCTGATGCGCTACAATAAGGTGGAAGCCTCAACAACGCCCTGAAGGCATTATTATATTGTATACGCAGGGCATTATCTGTTTTTTGGGTATGAGTAGCGTAAAGACGGCTTAATGACTTTCTCCTGGATTTTCCTACGCCAGCCCTGCCTATCTTCGGCTATGCAGATGGCATCGTTGACTGAAGTGTTGAGAGTAGAGCGTATCTGGTCCGATCAGCACATTAGATTTGTACCTCTGCGCATTCTTCCGCATACTTTGCTTGTTTACCAGCAGCTTTTCCAAATTTTCTGATAAATCTTATTTATCTTCTCTTTCTACGTTAATTACTTTCGTAAAATATGATCATTAATCTAAAAACACATATGCTTTACTTTAAAATGTCCTTAAGACATTAAACTTTTCACACAATATTACTTGCGATAGTACCAACACAACATCTAATTATTTTATTAATTTGCTCCCTTCATAAGGGTCAAGTATTGGTTATTTTTAGACGTCCAATGCCAAATTAGTGAGTAATAAAGTAACCAGTATACTCGTATGGTGTGATGTGTCTATGACAAGTTCCAAATCCTCCGGCAATAGCAATGCTTGCCCTATACATGTCTTGTCGGATCCCCCGGAAACACTCTCTGTACCTTTAGGTTCCTCAAGAACCGGTCACCGTCCTCGTCGAAAGAGTTCGACAAGCGAACTAACTCCTGGACACAGCCTACAGAATTTCTCGCCAGATCTTCTCAGTGGATCGCGATTCCGATCCGGTGGTAGATTCTGCGAAACACTGCTCTTGCTGGGGCTAGTGTTAGCAAATTCTCTCAGGTTGAGCCCGTGACCTCACCTACCCGTTCGGACATAGCTGGAATAGCCTCTTAAGCTACCAGTGTAGGTCGGGAAAAAAATAAAAACCTGAATAACGACTGAAGGAATAGCCTTGTTTAATATCAATGGAAATTTTTGTAGTTTTCTCTACGTCACGCATCTTAATTCTTTAGTCACGATGCTTGAGTTAGAAAGCTAGCAGAAACGGTATTGCACAATGTGGAAAAAGGCCCTTTGACCTCACATCGTAGTTGAACCAATGACTCATACGAACAGCTTTCGAACGAACCAACACATAAACGAAACAAGAGGAAAGTAAATTGAGAAAATTTGCTCAGGAAATGTTTTGGATAGTTAACGCACTTTAAAAAACTATTCGGGCTTAGTTAATGCACTTATTACACTAAAAACTTAACTAGTAGGTATTCATTCAGATGTTGAGTCAAATTTAGATGATTACCTTTTCTCGAACCTTATGCGCTTGATCTATCCCAGCCACACTTCATTGTAACTCTCGCTAAATTAGGTGGAAGCTGTGTGAAGATTATTGGAATCATTCGCGCTGCACTTATCGTAAAGTTTCAGCAATCTAAAAAAAATACTGATCAAAGTGCAAAGTTTCAATCAATCAATGCATGGAGGCATAAAACAAACAAACTAAAAAAATAATTTCGTGTTCACACGTACGCAGTTTCAATCATAGTCCTTATTTGACTTTATCTTAGGCTGAGAAATATATTAGAATTGGCAAAGCATACGTCCTTGTTAGGAAAATGAGAGTTGTCGCAACATCGGACACGCTTGAGACTTACCATATAACAATAGAACTTATGAATATTCAAAACCATAGGTTTACATGAACACTGAGAAAATACAAGGTACTTTATTTTGATAGTATTTATATGTAGATCTATGTTAAAACTGCGGATCTCACATAGTCTGCCGGGCTATTATTATCAAACGAATTGGGTATGTGACCCAGGTACGATGATCTGCTAATGATAGTATTCGTTCTTTTGTTAGGGATATTAGTACTCTGGCAACCTTGATTTTTCGATTTTGAATTGATTATGGACCAGGACCCACCAGTTATTATTAATGGTACAGATAACGGTTGCGTTTAAGACCGCAAGAAGAATGCAAATTATTTCTTTACATTAAGAACAAATAAATATCGTGCTAACTTCCTAATTGCCGATTTGCAAATTTATGATTTAAACAGGAAAAAAAATGCAACAATAACCTAAAATTTTAGTATTAATATTTTGAGCCATGCAATCATCATCGATATAATAATAAGAATATAACTTCTATAATAATCTTCTATAATAAAAATATAATAATGTTGCAAATTACCAGATACTAAACCATATATTGATAAGTAATTAATCCTCGACATGTCACTGGGAAAGATATCCAGATCTCTGTTAAAGAATCTTAGCATCTCTGACTGAAAACAACACCTAATACGCTAAAATATTATCCAATCAACTCAGTTTTAAAATATGCAATCCAGTAAAAAACTTATTAAAATGGTTTTCGTTAGTTATTTTACTTACTTAAATTGTAAATTGAAGATCAAACAAATAAAATTTGGGAATTTGTCAATCTACCGTAAAATATTCTATCTATCGTATATAATTCTTAAGAGTATACGAGATATCTGATCTAATATTCTTTTGTACTATTTCCAGGCATCGACGATCGATGGAAGACGAAAGGGCGCCTGTCTGTTCTGTCAAGAATACTTCATGGACCTATATCTGTTGGCTGAGCTCAAGACAATCAGTTTGAAGGTAATTTCGTCTTTATCACAATGACATGTATTCAATCAAAATATGAACATTAGAATTATATTGTAATATTGTAATGGTAACACCTAAGTTCTAAGTTGCTAATTTTAAGTTTGACGCTTGGCAACCCTCTCTTCCGTTCCAGCCTTTTAGCCCCGTGCATGGCAAGTTGCAATTTAAATTAATAAAATAAGAATAAACGCAAATATTCATTATACAAGCCTGTATTTTATTTATACAACATGAATTTAAAACAGCTAAGGCATCATTGGCGTTTGCAAAAAAGAACATAAATAAACTATGTAAATTTATTGTTAAAGTCATGAAGTCAAGGAAATTGTCAGATAGATAGATACTTTAGTATAATAGAGGCAAACTTGACCGTCTGGAATCATGTTTCCGCATAAGCATGTTTGTGTAATAGTATCGTTTGTTAGTCTTTCAGCGAAGCAACCTTAACACACGTAATAATAATGATAGTCGATCATTCACGTAGTGTGAAATTTTCGATAAGAGCTTACTATAGAAATGATCCTATGAAGTAAGGTCTTAATGATAGTCGGATCATTAATGCACAACCATCTAATTAATCACAATAAAACATAGTAAACGGAAAGAAAGAAAATTCTAGAATTATCGCCACTGATGTACTTTTAAAATCATTCCTCAAACGAATAGGTGAATTTATTAAAAAAATATAATGATAATTAAACCAGTACACACAGGCGTCGATCGATTAACACAAAACTTATTTGTAAGAAACATTTCATATCTAGTTGTTTAAGGTGCTGATGGTAGGACCTCTTGTGAGTCCGCACGGGTAGTTACCACCACCCTACCTATTTCTGCCGTGGAGCAGTTATTATTACTGGTGGTAAAAATGGTTTGAAGGGCGGGGCAGCCGTTGTAACTATACTGAGACCTTAGAACTTATATCTCAAGATGGGTGGCGGCATTTACGTTGTAGATGTCTATGGGCTCCAGTAACCATTGTAACTTAGAACTTATATCTCAAGGTGGGTGGCGCATTTACGTTGCAGATGTCTATGGGCTCCAGTAACCATTTAACATCAGGTGGGCTCATCCAGCCATCTAAGTAATAAAAAAAAACAAAATGTGTGCAATTCACACGTGGTAGAACCTTCCAAAATTTAAATACAATTATCCTAAACGTCTTAAGTATATGTAAAATTTTGTCATTAGTAAATAATTGTAAGGTAGCGCCCTCTGTGAATTGATATTTTAATTTCACGTATAATCCTAAATAAAAATTCACTACAAGAGCTTTCATACACACGTTAGTATTAAAAAATCTCACAGATGGCGCTGTATTAAATAGTATGTATATTTCTGTCTCANATCCTAAACGTCTTAAGTATATGTAAAATTTTGTCATTAGTAAATAATTGTAAGGTAGCGCCCTCTGTGAATTGATATTTTAATTTCACGTATAATCCTAAATAAAAATTCACTACAAGAGCTTTCATACACACGTTAGTATTAAAAAATCTCACAGATGGCGCTGTATTAAATAGTATGTATATTTCTGTCTCATTCTTTGTATTTGTGTCTCTTACCTGTCGTTTTTTCCGTTGCATCCGGTTTGAAATCACAACGATTCTAAAGAAGTTTTCACTTCAAAAAGACAAAACAGTTTTAGGAACAGTGCGTTTTGAAGTTACACAATTGCAAGTTTCCCAAGAGATTAGCGTAAAACCATCGTTGCGTTTCTTTATTATTATTATTGTCACCTGTTTCCCTTCTGCCTTCTGTTTCCAATTATCACTTATTCTGTAAGTAATACGAATAATAACATCGATGTTACAATCATACACGATAAACATGTTAAGGGAATTTACCGAAAAAATAAATGTAAGCTTTTAATTTTCAAAGATCGCCTATAGGCGAAAAAACGGATTAAACTATAGTTTAATCCGTTAATTTGTGTATCTAAATATTGAGATGCCCTTAGAATTTGTAAGAATCACGTACATATCTCTAGCCATGCTCATTGGATCCGAAGTGGGACAGTAACGGCATATGACGGGTCCATCACGATAGCCGGCACTTGATTGAAGTGAGGCTTCGTAGGTCGCATGTGAAAGTATACGTGTCCACAAACATTTTTGGTAGTAAAGTAAATATTGAAAGCTTGGAACGGAGTTGTGGTGTTTGGAGAAGAGATTAACTTTTTTATGTAACTATACCTACTGTTTAAGTGTACTATTTATGTAACTATACTGAGACCTTAGAACTGATATCTCAAGACGGGTGGCGCATTTACGTTGTAGATGTCTAGGGGCTCCAGTAACCACTCTCTCTCTCATAAAATGATATGCAAAGTTAATACTTACAAATAAACCAAAAGTTTGTCGTCAACATAATAAAAGTTATTATGTAAATGCCCGCCAATATATTTAATTCAAAATTTGCTTTACTTTGGTCAATTGCGTACTGATGCACAACAAATTTAAAACTAGCCATAAAAATACTACTAATATAATATATATATTTTTTTATAATCTGTCCTAAAACTTGTTTATATACGAAAACGTAATTCCGTTTGAATTATAGGTGACAACAGTGGACATGCAGAAGCCGCCCCCAGATTTCCGCACCAACTTCGAAGCGACACACCCGCCCATACTGATCGATAATGGGCTGGCGATACTTGAGAACGAGAAGATCGAACGTCACATCATGAAGTCCGTGCCAGGGGGACACAACCTATTCGTGCAGGTACTCTATAGACCTGAATTTTTTGGCATTAATAATTTCACTGGTGGTAGGACCTCTCGTGAATCCGCACGGGTAGGCACTACCACCCAGCCTATTTCTGCCGTGAAGCAGTAATGCGTTTCGGTTTGAAAGATCTCAAGAAATGAGAAATATCTCAAGGTGGGTGGCCCGTTTACGTTGTAGATGTGTATAGGCTCCAGTATCCATTTAATATCAGGTGGTCTGTGAGCTCGTCCAGCTCGTCGTTAAAAAAAAAACATTCAAAAATATAATAGGCATTAATTGATCTTTTTTATTTTATTTTATTGAAAAACTATTAGTATTTTTTGTTACAACTACACCAATATAATCTGTAATATGATTTAGGAGTTTTTTTTTTCTATGATATTTCTTCACGCTTTAAAAAATATCTGTAGAAAATACAATAACTATTTTCAAGACCGTAGACAATGACGTGAAACGAATAATGTTTCTTTTTTTTTATTAATTTATTTTATTTCTATTTTTAAATTCAGGACAAGGAGGTCGCGTCTCTAATCGAGAACCTGTATTCAAAACTGAAGCTGGTGCTGGTTCGCAAAGATGAACAGAAATCAGCGGCGTTACGAGCTCATCTCGGACGCATCGATGGACTTCTAGAACGCAGGGAGACCAGGTAACTTGTGTTCTTCTAACACAGCGGTCGGGGAACCGGGGTGAATAACCCCAAATGGGTAAAATGAAATTTTGGGGGGGTAAAATAAAACTTTTGTGAGTAAAAAGTATATATATTGAAGTGAAACTTCTTTAGAATCGTAAAATTTTTTGTTATTGTTTTCTTTTCAAAATTATCATGGGGGCTATAATATGAAAGATACTAAAAAGAAGCGATTTCGTTTTTTTTTTGTTCTTCGCCATGGGTAATATCAACTTACACAAAAATATTTTGGGGTAATAATTAAAAAAATTCCCCGACCGCTGTTCTAACACAACAGTTGAAAGCGAACAGTAAAATAGACCCTTGTTCGATATATTGAAGTAGAGGAGAGAGGTTTTGAAGTCGTCGTGACTTAAAGGATAAGACGTCCGGTGCATTCGTATGTAGCGATGCACCGGTGTTCGTATCCCGCAGGCGGGTACCAATTTTTGTGATGAAATACGTACTTAACAAATGTTCACGATCGGCTTCCACGGTGAAGGAATAACATCGTGTAATAAAAATCAAACCCGCAAAATTATAATTTGCGTAATTACTGGTGGTAGGACCTCATGTGAGTCCGCACGGGTATGCACCACCACCCCGCCTATTTCTGCTGCGAATGAGTAATGCGTTTCGGTCTAAAGGGTGGGGCAGCCGTTGTAACTATACTAAGACTTTACTCATATTTCAAGGTGGGTGGCGGCATTTACGTGTAGATGTCTATGGGCTCCGGTAACCACTTAACACCAGACGGGCTGTAAGTTCGTCCATCAACTTATGCAATAAAAAATATATAAAAAGTTATTATTCCATTACCGCGGCGTGTGAATAATAGAATTAAGTAGTAGGCTTTATTTTCGGAGGCCGTTTCGATACACCCTGTATATAAGAATAACAGACTGTCTGATAACAACAGACTGTGTGCTTAGTGCGAATTTTTTAACGTTCTCGATAGCGTAAAAGTTAGCTTATATTTGTATGGAATGGGATCCTTTGCCGCTAGGGGCGCTGTTCCAACTGCATACAAAAGAGGAGAACTTTAAAAAATTTGCACTAAACACACTGATCTAACAGACAAAAAATTACGTTTTTCAACCAACATTTATTGATATTATCATTGAAACGTTTTTTGTATTAAAATTCTAGGTTCCTAACGGGCGACACTATGTGCTGTTTCGACTGCGAGCTGATGCCGAGGTTGCAGCACATCCGCGTCGCCGGGAAGTACTTCGTGGACTTCGAAATACCGGTCAGTTCTATCTATCTAATAACACTCCCATACCCCGCACGCCCCCCTAGGCGCGGGGACCTCGAAGGAGGTTCGGCCCACGGCCCGAAAAAAAAAAGTGAAACGGTTGATGATTTGAATTAGAATTAAAAATAGTGTAAGAAAATATGATTTTATTATAAAAAAAATCCATATCCAAAAGTGCATGGTATCAGTATTTATAAATATTTTATGAACAGGTATGAGTAGAAGGGTTATTTTGATAATATCCTGAAAAGCACCCCAGGTTTTTTACAATAAAATCATTTTTTTCTCCTACCGACGCCGAAAGTTCGGTTTTCGTCCCGCTATACAGGGAAGAAAGTCTCACTTCTCCCCCCGCTGTACCGGGAAGAAAGTGTAACTTTTTCTCCCTGGGTACTGACAAGTGCGCATGCGCGTTAGTGTACGTCTGCTCTCACGCACCTAAAATCCTCCGCCATTGTTGTGCTCGGGTAATTTGCAATATTGTGTTTAGTGTAAAAGTGAAATAAACAAAAGGCAATAAAATTTAATAGTGAATATTAAACAAAGATGAGTTCATCAGACAGTTCTTATTCAATTATTAGTAGTTTATTTAAAAATTAAAAAACAATTAAATTGTTTTTTTTGTGAGTATACCGCCAATTGTACTTTTTTGTGTTTAATGTATCGCACTGTTTATTTGTTTTTTGGTGTACAATAAAGAATACTCTCTCTCTCTATATATATATATATATATATGGGGGGGTTCGCCCCCCTACCCCCCGCCAGGGCTTCGCCCCTGGACCCAGGCTCGGTACTCCACGAACTTTCGGCCTAGTAGGAGAAAAAATAGTATGCACAATGTACTATTTCTTACACACTATTTTTAATTCAAATTTATTATGGTCTTTGACGATAGACCCTTAATAATGTTCAAACTTATAATTTCAATTAATTATAGTCGAATTTCGACCATTGGTATATATAAAGTTGTTAGTTTACAGGATTGCAACTTTTGGATTATGAAAAAAAAATATAGCAACCAGTTGTAATGAATTTTGAGCAGCTCTCAAGAATTCTGATTAGAGCAATTTTTATAGTGTGATATATTGTTTGATAAGGAGACCAGTTGTAATGAATTTTGAGCAGGTGTTAAGAATTCTGATTGAAGTGATGTTTATATTGTGGTATTATATTGTTGCAGACGACGTTCCGTGCTTTGTGGCGTTACATGTATCACATGTATCAGCTTGACGCTTTCACGCAGAGCTGTCCCGCCGACCAGGACATCATCAACCACTACAAACTCCAGCAGGTACTTCAACGGACAATGGATCCTTAAAATATACAAAGTATTGATCGGTTATCTCTTAAATGACATAAGTAATTATACTCGAGACTTAGAACTTATATCTCAAGGTGGGTGGCGCATTTACGTTGTCGATGTCTATGGGCTCCAGTAACCACTTAACACCAGGTGAGCTGTGAGTTCGTCCACCCATCTAAGCAATAAATAAAAATGAAAATTTTAAAACAATATTATTGAACAAGATTAAAAATCTGAGGTACTTATTAAAATTTAACAAGGTAAAATATTATAGGTATATTTATTTTGATTTATACTTTCAAAACATATTGTGCCTGACTCAGCTAGTCTTTTTAAAATAAATATTTTAGATACATAAGGGAACTAATTAACTATAAAGTTCATGTAGATAGTAGACAACTAACAGCTACATATTATTTAAGTTTGGTGATATTTTTTTTCATTTTTATATAATATGGCAACATTGGCTGTCCATAGTCTACAAATCATAATGGCTGTATATTATATATACTTTATTTCTTCTTTTCTGGTGTCCACACTTTGGGTTCTCTATGACTCTGTTGTATGTGTGACTGCAGCAATCGGCGAAAGGTTTGGTGTCGCCAACATTATCCCGACAGAGAAATGATGAGAGCCAAGGATCGGTAGGTTGTTGTACGGGCTCCGTGACGTCACTCGCGCATGTACCGGGCTCAAATGTAACGTAATCACGCTAGGGGGCGCCTCATATGTGCAGTAATATGTAACCATGCTAGTTCATTACACGCAAACTTTTCAGCAATTTGGGTTGTTGTTAATAATTTTGTTTGAAGCGTTTAAGCAATAGAACTAAATATAACTCTCATAGGGCTCATTAATTGAATTATGATGAAATTTTATAAATTCCATGTAAACGTAATTAGGCAAACGTAAAGAAAAACATGCTTTTTTTTTTTTATTCATCGCATTGTTGATATCAATTAAGATTTTTTTAATCAATCGGCTATGCCCTTTCAAATTTTGTTTAAATTTCTTTGCCAAAAACAGTTGCTATTTATATATATATATATGGTTTGAATTTTTTTTTGGTATTGATCGAAATAGTTTCAGACTCAAAAAACTTTCACAATACTATTCTCGCAGATGCTTTGTTAATTTATTTTAATTATTAAATTCTATATGTAATTAAATTATATTTTCATTGAATCTCACTGTCAAGCTTGTGGTTTACACTTCTAATTCGAGTGAACGTATATAACATTTACTTTCAACTAATATTTGGTTTTGGTATATTCATTCTATGTGGGTTTTCTGTGTGATTTCATTTTGTATAGTTATTCATTCCGATAAATCTGTTATGAAAGTCAAATATAAACTTCACTTTTAATTTCCCTGAGATGGTGTAATTTATTTTCTGTAACAAAATATATTGAATGCTCTCTTTTATCTTTTCTGAATTAAATTTAAAATGTTTTTTTTTTAATCTATAGGCATTGAAAATGAAGAAACATGAAGAACTTGAAACACCGACGTTCACGACCTCAATCCCCATCGACGTCAACGAACTGAATAACGCAGAGTAATGGTACAATAGAATAAACACCTATAACCTTGGTACAATACAATACAATACATATTAATATATCGGTTTTATACTTAAACCACGTAAAATTAAGAAGTTTATACTATTGTTTTTTTTTCTTTTTTTCTCAATGTGACAACACCGAAATTTATCTAAAACTTTAATAAAACAAAAGTAATTTATGTGAAATTATTGAAGGTACGTGGTTTTAGATTTTTCCGCGATGCTACGTTTTGAATAATAAAACCAGCCAGCCCCGAATCACAAGTTCTAACATATCATTAAAACATTTCAATTCTATTGGTCTAAAATCTGATTTACTGTCTGTGAATTTGTTTCATATAAGTAACTATGATATATAATGTAATAGTCACTAGACTCGATTACATAGGAAAATACAGCAAAACTCGCTCTCATTTATGGCCGAGTACTTACATGTTAACATTCAATTCACAGGTTGGTAAATTTTGCTACATTCAATCTCGGACATGTATGGATACTGTGTCAAACAAATCAACTTATCAACCCCAATCGATCAGTCCTTTGCACCAAGCTGATAGTAATTGTACGAAATTTTTATATGGTAAAGTTAAAATCTAAAAGATTTGTATGTGTTAATTGGGTGCATGGGGAAATGTCCTGAAAAGAATTTAGTTTATTTTGATTATTTTATAAGTTTTATATTTTCAAATATTACCGTAATGATGATGCCTCTCTTCAAAAAAGTTGCAATATGATGACTTGGTCGATTGCTGACTGAGAGGTGACTGTGGCCATTGAGAAACTTGTTTTTTTTCCATATAATATCACATTTCGGCAGAGGTGCTGAACGTAAAAACAATCGCCAAAAGAGCTTTTAGATTTGACATTACTAAAAAAATTAAACATTGACGAAAAAAAAATCAGATGCAGTCATCCAAACAACGAATAGATGATTATTATATTTTAAATAGTATGTAAGATTGGTTTACAGTATTCGTTTGATAATTATCAATATACTTAAGTTTATGACTTTACCGCCATTTGTATTTAATGCCTCTGCCAACTTGGATTGTCCTAAAATTGCTCTTGCCCGCCTGTTGCTTATCTGGGTAGTAAATAAAATAAGTGCTTTTCTTTCAGATTATTTTGTTAATTTATTATTTATGGGCCCTAATGTAGGTTGTAAGAATGTGAGGCTTTAAGTTGGACCACCTAACATAATTGCTCTACTCAAAATATGATTTAATCATTTTACAACTTTCAATACATATACAGAACTGACTGTTTTTGCATTCATAGTTTACAATAGTCTTGAAGTTTTGCAAAAATTGTGTTAGAAAGAGTTACAGAAACAAAACTAACTTTATATAATACACTCATTTGAGACAATGGCGAGAGACAATCAGCATGTCTATTGGACAATGTATAAAATATTAATGCTAGATTAAATGTAAGTGTTAAGGAATAAACCTGGATAAAATATAACTTTTTTGTTTTGTTTTATTTTTTCTTTGGATTTTTGCAGTGTTTTCTTTATTTTTGTGATCAATTGCCAAATTTTGTCAAAAAAAGCTTAATGTGCCTTAAGTAGTGTTGAGCATTTTGCTATGACTTTATACACATACTGTAGCTTTTGGAATAATAAAGATTTTAGACAAAATTAAACAGCATTATTTATATGAATACATATATATTATAGAATGCTACCATTTATAATTTAATCTTTTTTTTCATCCACTCATTTCTGTAAACATCTTTGGTCATTAATGAACTTAAAAACATGTGAGTCAAGTAAGCAGTAATACCCCATATTTTGTAGCCTCCTGCCAAGAATACTGGTAATATGAAACCATTTTTGAATTGTGTATAATGTTGGTTCTTTGTGTCACATAACATCTCAATTGGGACTGTAAAAACTTCTGCTACTTCTTTCACATTGATATTCAATGATTCTGGTTTAAAATTGAATATAGTACCAATTACTGGGGTGATCATTATTTTGTTATTACGCCCAGGTACTGCAGGACCATGGCCCCAGACGTCTATTTCTTTAGCAGAAAGCCCAATCTCTTCATCAGTCTCCCTAAGTGCTGTTTCAATGGGAGTTTCATTTTTATCAGTTTTTCCACCCGGAAAAGATATTTGACCGCTGTTCGTTCGTAAATTTGAAGACCTTACTGTATATAATAGAGAAGGAACTTCGGCAACACGACACAAAGGCACTAAAACCGCAGCCGTAGCTGTTGGTGTACTTCCGAACTTTGGAACCTTAGCCCTTTTTAGGTTCATCAAACATCGTTCTCGGGACGTGAGACAAAATATGCTGTTGACACTAAACGGAGACTTAGCACACATTTCATTCAAAAGGTTACATGTACTGCAAGTATTTAATTTTATTCAATTTTTTAAATCTTTCAATCTGGAAATTGTTTAACGATTAAGAGATGGATTTGTAATTATTTTCAATATTTAAAATTGTTTCTACTATTAAATAATTCAGATTCATAATTTTATTTAGTGAATATTATTGTTAACATTCTAAAAACTCTAAAAATAAAAATTATGTTGACAGTGTTGACACTTCTTGTCAACTTATGTGTATAGAAGTCATAGACCTATATAGATAGAAGTATATTAAGTGTATAATCTATGGTGTATAGTGCATAATCATGGTATAATCTATGATCGCAACAGCTTAGGATTTCGCAATTAATCCTAGTAAATGACCACCATTTTACTAAGATTATATTTCATTCCATATCATCTAATTTCATTTAATTTCATCCCAGTTGATTAACGTCTCAAATTTATCATTTTCTACCTACCTACGTACTTTAGTTCCTTCTGTAGGTTGGTTGGTAGATACCTTAGTAATTTCTTCTAGTAGGTTGTATGTTCAGTTGACTTTGAATTTTAGATTAGACCTAATACCATAGACCTAGGTTTCATACTTCAGTGCCTAATACACATACGGTACTAAGTAGGTATTTGAGAGATTAGACTCTTCTTCTTTTTTATATTTTGGCTCCGGCACGGTTTGTGTATTAGCCAGCGTCAAGTAATAAGATTTTCATAATTCGCGTTATATAGGTCTACCAGAATCTGATGGCAAATAAAAGGAAAAAAATAGCGATTTTCATATGGCAACAAAAAAAAAATCATCTGTCAAAACTGAAATTTCGAGGAATTGTTTTTGCTTTGGCTTAAAATTTCCTATAAAAAGTGGTGAAAATGTCGAAGAAACCTCTTCGATCGCAAGCAAGAAATATTGTTTTCAATGTTTATCAAAGAATACTTGATGAACAAGGTGCAGAACAAACACAATCATCGATATTGAGCCATGTCCAAGCGTTGACTGGTTAGTAAGAATGACACGTCTTGATACTTTGTGTTGTGTATTATGTATACTAAACTTTGGTTTATTTCAGGTGTTTCTAATACTACCATAAGACAAATTGTTGCTGAAGGCAGATCTAACAGAGGCGTATTTAGTACGCCTGGTAAAAAGAGGAAAGATGGCAAAAATACTGCGCCTTCCTCTTCCGATGAAGACTTTTTTATGGATGTGCAGTATTTGGAACCATTTTCAAGTTCTGATAGCCTTTAATTAATCAATATATTCATGAACAGAGTAATTGGAGTTTTCATCTCAATTTCGAATCCCAAATTCGCCACAGTAAGATTTTCAAAAATTATCCTTGATCATTACATAAATTTTTATATTTGCATGTATCACAGAATGAGCCGCTATAAGAAAAAAAAGTATCAAAACGTTTTACTCCAGCTTATGAATAATAAAAAACGAAGGAAACCCAAATTAATCTACTGAGATGAAATTAAATGAAATGAAATCAGATGATATGGGATGGAATATAATCTCAGTAAAATGTTGGTTATTTATTGAGATTTTTTCAGTGGACTTTTTGGTGGATCCCGAGAAGCTACGTCCAGCGACTTTGTTTCATTTTCCCACAATTTTACACTTTCACATAAATTAAACAGTTAATAAACCACCGTTATTACACATTTAAGCCTGAAGAAACACTAAATAGACAAAATAAAACAATTCAGACAACTTCACTCTTCGCGTTCGCGCCAAAAAGTGTAGAGAAAAGGCTTAGTTAAAGTAAGTATTCACAGATGACATACAGATATGTGTGTCCTAAAATAAAGAAGGAGGAGAAGCACGCCTTGCAATAAATTTAAGTAAAATAGAGCTCTAAAACGAAAGTATGTGCTAAAATCAGCAGCAGCCTATTTTTTGTAAATATAATTTCTTCCTCTATAGATAAAAATCTTGGTAGATTGAGACATTCAGCGGAAATATCAATTGTACTGTATAGCACCAATCACCTATCCCAATTTTTGACGTGAATACGTCTTTAAAATTACTTCCATAGGGATGCAATCCAAAAAAACGAATGATAACAAAATCGGGGGATACAGTTTAGTGTTGTAGCTACATATCTATCATCTCCATCCAAATTTCAGTTACACTACTGGATAGCTAAAGAATCAAAGAATTTATTACGCTAAGTAAGGACTGTAACACATCGCGCGCGGGGGAGGGGGCAGCCCCGCCATTTTGAAGGTCGATTTGCTGCGTATCGAGATTTCCATTTAGTATAACTTTCGACTCGGTGAAGCTACGACGTTCATTCAAGTTTCAATCGTTAGCTCTCGTCAAAATCTATCGATTATATATATAACATTAGTGTAAAATTGTAACTGTGAATATAATAAGGTGTTAAAATAAAATAAAAATATCAAAAAATATATAATGTCGGCCTATACGCGTCTAAAAGCCAAATCGAAATACAGAGATCGTATACGGTTGGAAAGGGCATCTCAACAGCAATCGAATGGTACCAATAAAACACTATATGATCGAGTCAAGCAGTGCCGGCAACGTAAAGTAATGAATGCGGCCGAGCGGATCAACGACGCGACGACGGTGCCAGTACATCTGCAGCTGGGACGGTTGAAATTACGAAGATGGATGATGAAATCGCTTCTGTATCGACATCGGGCTTATGACACAGACCTATAATAAATAAAGTTATAATACAGTAATTATATGTTTAGTTGATTAATTTCCTGAACCCATTAAATGAAAAAGTTGCCATCATAAACAAAACATGTATACCCGGAGGACTTCTTATGATTATGACATACATAAATAATAATATTTTATATAGAAACTATTACCCGTTACGAGACGTATTCTCGTACAACCAACGGCCGTGTCCATAACACAGCCACACCCCATTTTTTAGCCGGAAAGAATAACTGCTTAGCCACAGAAATAGGTAACACATCCTCCCGATCCACTAACGATGCTTTTAGGTACCTCATGCACCGGTCATCGTTCTCGTCGAACCCGTCGCTTGCGACGAAGGGCTCGACGAATAAATCGTCGGCTTATTGCAAGAAGTCATTAAGTGACATATTCATTATTTTGGGAAAACGGCATTTTAGTTGGAATTAGTTAGTGGTTATGTTGATTAGCCCATATTATCCTTCATACATAACTACAGTGAAAAAAATTTAATGTTTTGGATTGCTTAATATGTATATTAATTAAAACAAGTGAGGGTCGGTAATCATATAACATTATATATTATTTATAAACTAAAACTGAAAGTTAATGACTTCTTGCTACTGTAAGTCGGTTTTATATGTGAATTAATTATTTCTTAAATTAAAATAAACCAACAAAATACTTATCAAACCTTATTGAAATAAACAAAAACGAATAATAACATAATAATCAAAAACATTTTTTTCATAACAGTTGACGTAAGAACTTGCAATAGCTAATATTGCCAAGTACTCACGACAACTTCGCAGTCTCAAAAGTTGTACATAATTTTATTTTTATTTTATTGCTTAGATGGGTGTAAGAGTTCACAGCTCACTTGTTATTAAGTGGTTACTGGAGCCCATTGACATCTACAATGTAATTGCGCCACCCACCTTGAGATATAAGTTCTAAGGTATCAGTATGGTCACAACGCTGCCTCACCTATACAGAGGAGGGCCATTTGGATTGTTGATAATCCCATTCTCACGTATCGTTTGGAACCTCTGGGTCTGCGGAGGACTTCGGTTCCCACTGTATTTTGTACCGTATGTTCCATGGGGAGTGCTCTGAGGAATTGTACGAGATGATACCGGCATCTCGTTTTTACCATCGCACCGCCCGCCACCGGAGTAGAGTTCATCCATACTATCTGGAGCCACTGCGGTCATCCGCAGTGCGTTTCCAGAGATTTTTTTTGCCACGTACCATCCGGCTATGGAATGAGCTCCCCTCCACGGTGTTTCCCGAGCGCTATGACATGTCCTTCTTCAAACGAGGCTTCTGGAGAGTATTAAACGGTAGGCAGCGGCTTGGTTCTGCCTCTGGCATTGCTGAAGTCCATGAGCGACGGTAAACACTCACCATCAGGTGGACCGTATGCACGTCTGCCTACAAGGGCAATAAAAAAAAACCCTTGAAGCCGAAACGCATTTCTGCTTCACGGCAGAAATAGGCGGGGTTGTGGTACCCACCCGTACGGACTCACAAGAGGTCCTACCACCAGTAATTACGCAAATTATAATTATGCGAGTTTATTACACGATGTTATTCCTTCACCGTGGAAGTAGATCGTGAACATATTTTGTTAAGTACGTATTTCATCAGAAAAATTGGTACCCGCCTGCGGGATTCGAACCCCGGTGCATCGCTAGATACGAATGCACTGGACGTCTTATCTTTTAGGCCACGACGACTTAAATAATAAACTAAAAATAATTTTCTTCTCCCTGTTAGTCAATCACTCATGTATTCATTCAATAATGTATTTTTTAATGAAAATTAGGAACTGAGCTTAAACACCATACAAAAACATAAAACAAATAAAAAAAGATCTAGGTTAAAAAAATCAGTATCAGAGGTTTCTTCTTCAGGAAGATAATTCTTTATCAGGTATATTATTATACCAATGGTGTAGCTCTGCAGGCTAGGTCTTTAAAATTGGAAACGTAGTCATACCTATATTGAACAATTTTAAGTCGGTTTTTCCAAGCTTGAAGCATTTAACCTTCAAACACTGTAGTCCTACAGTGTCAATTGACTTATTAAACATTAATTTGTTTCTCAACTCTTTTAGGCTCAAGATATCAGAGTGGCTCATTACTATAGGTTCATACGGCGTCTTTGCTGTTTTTTTTTCTTTTTTAGCTTTCTGTTCGATCTAGCCAATCTTAAAACATTACAGAGGTCTATCATAGAAAAAATTGGCATAAGACACATTTGATTCTCGATAGAACTATGCATATTATCGACCTCCATAATGTGTGTGGCCCAATTCTAAATACTTACGTTCAACCACCTCAAGGTGGGTAACTTGAACTAAGTATAGCATTAAGAATAACAGAAACTGATTACGTTCTTGCATCAGCTCGCTGAGTTTCTCGCCGGGTCTTCTCATGGGTTGCGATTCCGATCCGGTAGTAGATTCATTCACGAAGCAGCTGTTCTTGAGTTGTTAGGTCTTCTTCGGAGGCGCACGGATAGCTGTTAGCAAATCCCACCCCTCTTGCCTGAGCCTTTGCTAGCCCACATGTCCTGGTGAATCTGGAAAGGCCTCCGGGCCACCAGTAATCCTTCAATCCTAAAAAAATATAAAAAAGCCTGTCTGGTGTTACAGTGATTACTGCAGCTCATAGAGATCCAACGTGAAAGCCACCACCCATCTTGAGACCCGAAATCTAAATCTAAATTGTTCCGTATGCTGCTTCGTTTCGATGGTGGTACCAACTCGTACGGGCTTGCCATACGCCATACCAACCATCCTATCAGTAAATACAAGTTGGCAATCGTAGTCCACTGGTATGATTCTCAGATAACGATGTTGCCCGTTCTCCAGTGTATCATTTAACATCTTCTACGCCCGTGATCATGCTATTGTAGGTCAGGTGTTTGCTTGCTAGGTTGTGCGAAGGTTGTTCGGAACTTCAATTGCTCCAACATCTTCCTTCCTCGTCCTTGTTTGAAACATTTATTTCATTGCATTTTGTCAGAAATCATTAACTTCTATAACAGGCGTGGTAATCAACGTATCTCGCCGCAAACTGAGCGAGCGAGGCAAGTACTCTTTCGTCCCGCGCAAACCCACCCTCACCCGCGTTCGTCGGTTTCGTCTTATGCCCCGTGTTTCCTAGACAAGCTGTTTTGTCGCATTTCACCAAACCCTATATAACTCACTAAACTACATCCGAGGAACCACGTAGCTTGCAAGAAGTTACTATGTTCTTTTAATCGATGTTAACTTATTAAAATCATGCCATCAACAAAATGGAAAAAATAAGGAAAAAGAATAAATGATTTTATGGAAATCTTAATATTATGATTTATATTATATTAATATCGATAAAAATCATTAAGATTACTTATTGTGCATTTGTGATGAAATGATTCATTACAAAAACTAACTAAATGTAAATAATGAATTTTATCGAAATGCAATTTTAAGCTATATTATACTACACTGTTTTGATAAAATTAATTAGATGCTGAAAATGAGTTCTGTAATGTAATGTATGCTATTTTCAAATAATTATCCATTTAATAAAAATAACTAGTGCTGCTTAGTGAATCTTTGTAAATGCCGGACTTCCAAAGTTGCAATTATCAATTTTCTACCAAAGACGTAACGGCTAAAATTGGCCAGCTAGAAATTTGTGTGTTTTTGCATTTTGTAGAATATGCAAAAATGAGCCCATTATAGATAAAAACGCATTTAGTGATTTTTTGCAGTTAATGAGTTCTTGCAATAAGCCGACGAAATTAACCTTCAGACACAGCCCACTGAGTTTCTCGCCGGATCTTCTCAGTGGGTCGCGTTTCCGATCCGGTGGTAGATTCTGCGAAGCACGGCTCTGGCTAGGGTTCGTGTTAGCAACGTCGTCAGGTTTGAGCCCCTTAAGCTCACCTACTAGTTAAAGTTCCGCTGATATAGCCTCTCAAGGCTAACAGCTTAGGTAAGAAAAAAAAGGTAACACATCTACCCTCGTACAATAACTTCTTCCACCTTTTAGATCGGTTTCGGTTCGCACAATATGATCCCAAACCTAAATTTTCTGTCGGTTAAACACTCTGAGAACGTTGCTACCCATTCTTCCAAGAATAACTTGGTCGCTTTTTCGGTGATTATATAGTCAGAAATTGAGCAAAATGTAATAAATTTGTTTTTTGCCAAAACTGTTTCATGCAAACACGGGGGACAAAGTCGTGGGAATCGATTTATTTAGTCTAAAGTTTCTTCAGGTTTAAAACTGTTATTATGTTTTATTATCCGCTTAGCATCTCTGTGAGTACAAAATGAAACTAAATTTTCAACGTTGTAGCTTTCAAAGTTCTCCCACATACACATTGATATCTCACTATGGATTCTGAACATTTATCTGTAAGTGTGTTATTATTTCGTTATAATTCATCCAACACTTTTAGTTTAGTTTAATTTCACTTTTACACTACTTAAACCATAAACATACAACAGCATGGCTTTTGCATTGGTTACAAAGCGTTTGGTTCTATGAGCTGTAATCTCTTTGCCTGTTCAGACAAACCAAAAATGTCTAGTTTTATCAACACATTATAAATAGTAGGTAAATAGTAACCTTTGATCTCCCTCGTTTTAGGTTTTAGTTCTACTGCAAATTAATTCTTATTGACTTATAAGTTAGTAAATAGGTATGTCATTATCACCAGAAGTATTGCTGAATGCAGTTACTCGATCGATATGTATATCAAAGTTAAAAGAACTTCCAATATTTTTAAGCAAAGAGGTAACGTATAAAACCAAAGCCTCTGTTTTAGTACCATTATGTGTTGAAAACGACCAAGTTTGCTTGTTATATACTCTAAGATCGTCTAATTTGAGCAATCACAGCGGACAAGTTTCTTTTCCTGGTGGTAAAATGGATAAAAATGAAGATGTTTATGAAACTGCTTTACGGGAAACTGAAGAGGAAATTGGAATATCTCGTGAACACATCGATATTTGGAGTAAAATGCCTCAAGTCCAGGGTCGTGATAGAAATATAGCTATAACACCAGTTATAGGCCTACTTAGAAATTACCACAGAGATAATCTTAGACCTAATCTAGGAGAAGTTGAGGAAATATTCACAGTTCCAATGAAAACATTTTGTGATGTTAATAATCATGCACACTTAGAGTATGACGGTATAATAATACCTGTATTTTTGAATGAAAAGCATAAAATTTGGGGAATAACAGGAATGATCACTCATTTGTTCTTATCGTGTTTTTTACCTGAAAAGTTATATAATGTCAATTTCATGAGAAGAAAATTCACTTTGGATGAACTAATGCCTTCTAAACTCTGAGTGGTGATGTTAAAATATGTATCGATCTACATGGATAGATAGGTACTAAATGACTTAAATAAGTATATACCTTAATTTTTGTATTCATGTTTCAATATAAAATATTGATAAAGGTTTTAAGTATAAATTAGAATAATTAAATAAACTGTGATAGTAAAAAAATAACATTTTTGGACACATTGCCAGAAAGATATTTGACAAATTAGATAATCTGCTGATAACTGGCCAGGTATTCGGAAGAAGACCAGACAAGTCCAATGCTCTGGACTCCGATGCAGGACTAGATAAACTCGACTCTCATCACCTCGTTCCATGTTGCCATCCACACCGCTGAGGATAGACAGAGAGGGTGTTGGATTGTCAGGAGAAAGTTATTCAGTGAGGTTACGACCCTCAATATTAGGATTATCAATGCAAGAAGCAAGAGTAAAAAAGTGACCCAGTCGCAATATATTATTATTGTTGTTAATAATGACAAATGACAAAATGTATATAATGGTAATTTTATTTTTTCTTTGTACAGAGTATAAATCATTTTATAAATTGAACTACAAAATTTCTATTGAGAGTATGTTTTGACTTAGAAGTATTTTTTACTGTATTTCTGTGGCTTGTCATATCTAAAATACATATTAAATCTGTATTAATGCATTCCTTTCCTTAAAATTGTAACAATGTGAAGTAAATCGCACAATGGGAGTGAAAATCATAATAAATCTGAAACAATAAAAATGTGTTATTGTAATAAATATATAATACATATTTAAACATATCAAAGTTCTCAAACTAGTCAACATTCCATGTTAATGATTTATTGAATGTGTAAGATCATCGGTTAAATCTATTTACAGTATGACCTTGGATTTATTATTTCTGATGTTTCAAATACTTCACAAGTTATCGTTGTCACTAAAGTTTTATATGTCAACATTGAAAATTGTATGGAAATCCGTAAAAATTAAAAGCGAGATTAAATTGAAGAAGTAATTTTAATTAATGTAACTCATGTTTTTGCAAATTATCCTAAAATGTACGAGAAAAAAGAATTCTTAAAAAATTTCTTACATCAGAATGAAACATTTTTTTTTTACTCATAAATGAACAAATTGAATTTAATGAATTAAATAAACAAATTGAATTTGTGAATTAAATGAGTACCTACCTAGCACATCAGCTTACTGCCCATCGCATCTATCATAAGCTACAATAAAGTCGTCTTTCCCATATTTTTCCTTCATGAACTTTACGCCGCATTCAAACTCGCAGAAATTATTGTACGTAATACCCAAGGAAGTGCAGACAGGTTGGTACACTCGGCCGCACGGACAAGACGGCTTCAGGAACTCTCCGCTTGCACACCAGGTCAAGGCAACGATCAGCAGGAATACTGTGAATTAAAAAAGCAACTGAATGACTTGATCGAGTTATTAATAATATTTAGGTATTAGGGAAAGTTATAGTTATATAATTCTTCAGGGCTTATGAGCTCAATTGCATTAATTCAGATGAAATTTCTAGTAACTACCCTAATTAAAAATCCTCCCTAATACCTGTTGGCAGATAATCTCTCAGACTCTAAGTAATTGAGAATATTTCAATACGAATTTACAATAATAACCAACTCATTTTATGTCTTCAGAAAAATCAGGATGGTACTAGTATGTAACTAGTTCCATATCTATTTTTACACAATTTAAAAATATCCGACAGACAGTTAAAAGTAGCGTGTTGTGATTACGAAGCCTTTAAAAATCACAACGTGAACAGTGTGCTTGATGCGAGTTTTTTAACGTTCTCGATAGTGTACAAGTTAACTCAAATTTGTATGCAGTTGGAACAGCGCCCCTAGCGGTAAACGTTCCAACTTATATATAATCTTACTCTATGGTTCCAACTCAATACTAAATTGAGTAAAGTTTTACGCTATCGAGAACGTTATAAAACTCTCATTAAGCATCATAGATAATAAATACACTTAATATTTGAGTTAAGGACACAATATTATTACATTACCAGTCAGTCAACGTGCACTTTAAATATTGAAAAAAAATTAATTCCATTGCGATTATACGAGCATGCATACTAATTACTACTACCATACATTAGATGCGTGAAAAATTAATTTCTAAACTGTTGACATGCGGGATTGGTCATTGAACGTATAAAACACAATGTGCGGGCTTACAGCTCATGAATATTTGTCTGTTAATTAACAAAGCTATTTTTAGTTAGTAATTACTGTTGGTATTCGTAAAAAAATACTTTTACGGTTTAATCTATGGTTTTTATGGTCTATATATTGTTTCCGACATTTCGAATATTTCACAGTTTTCGCGCTTACGGACGAAGGGGATGGTATTGGTCGACATTTGAATATTGTGCTAACTACCGTTTATTTTTCCACTTAGGAATACATCAAGTTCCATCGTTAATAAACTGTAAGCTCATCCACAGGTTCCCTTTATTTGTTTATTCAATAATGAGAAGGGGAGTTGTGAGGCCACACCTTGAAGTCGAAGTCTCAAACAATGTACTCATCTTTATAAAAAGCTAAAAGAAAGAATAGACTGGAAGTTTGACAATACATAGCATTGACCTCTTTGACTATAATCCAATACTGGGGGTAGGACCTCTTGTGAGTCTGCACGGGTAGGTACCACCACCCTGCCTATTTCTGTCGTGAAGCAGTAATGCGTTTCGGTTTGAAGGGCGGGGCAAACGTGCATACTGAAACCTTAGAACTCATGAGGTGGATTTACGTTGTAGATGTTTATGGGCTCCGGTAACCACTTAACACCAGGTGGGCTGTGAACTCGTCCACCAATCTAACCAATAAAAAAAATGACGAGTCTGATGCTGCATACTGTGTAAGACAGCTGTCTAGGTCCAGTTTGTATACACCTATAGAGGCTTGTTACCTGCAAGAGGAGAGTTACCGCTTGTTCTTGTATTGTCAAAAAATCGTTAGGCATAAATAAAGTTTAAATTTTATCCGTATTTTCAAATAATTCAACTATCCCTACAAATGCATCGGGAATGCTGACTACATTTTGGGTGGTTTTGTTCTTAGATGACGAAAGTGCTAATTTGTTGCGTTGCGGTAAATGAGTGTGGACTGTATTTATTATTTTTGAGATATTTATTTGTCCTTATATGACAAATTAAAGACTGAATATAAAAGAAATATAAAATCGATGCGTCGCTCTTGGCGGCTAGATTTGAAAGAGGAATAGTGTCATGGCGGACGTCACTCGCTGACACTTTGACGTTCAGAAATTTAACATACTCACTACCTCGAGTAATCAGTGAAATTAATTTATTACGTAATTTTATTTTGATGTATGTGTTACTACTATACAAATTGATAGGGTGGAATTGAATTGAAAGTAATCATGTAGCTAACGTAATAATTTAACATGCTTACCGTAATAGACGAAATGTTTCTTGTTGTTCGAAACTTTATGCATTTTGAATAAATTTCAATTGATTATATGGGGACTGAACAATACATATATAATATGAAACGTTGATTTAATTTGGAAAATATGCGCTGTGCGAGCAGCCTTTTACCTGGTGTTTCAACTGCAACTGCAGAAATACCTTTCTGCCTTTGTTTCAAAGCCAATGACCCGCGGCATTCCCATGCGGGAAATTAGCCGCATTAATACAAAGAATTTGCATTATTATCATTACATTAAAAACGGTTTACTTAAAATGTAGGTATATATCAAATTTGAAATTATCACACGATAACTTCCTACTTTACTATACTATATCTTTATAAAAAAATTAATAGCATACTGAGTTTCGCGTTATTGTCTTAAGGCAAAGAATATGTCGATAGTATATTTTTCTGGTTACAGCGCACTTGTCACGCAATAGTGGAGAATGGTAAGACCCTGCTTGTGTCTGCCCTGTCGCAGTCTATAGTGTCCGCAGTTATCGTATATTTGAAAACAATTTGTAAATATAGTGATTTGTTTTTAACCATAGTACAGTGAGCTCTTCGAAATCTGTGTGATTCAATTTCGATTTATAAGAATCGAGACCATGGTCTATAATTTAAAATAGCCATTAAAATTAAATATACAGGTATCTTTGTTGTGTGCAGCTTTGAAACTCTACCTATATGTGGTTCGATTTAAGGTAATAATACTATTTAGCTTTGTATACGCAGTTATATGAGTATTAAACCTTTTCAAATGGCTACGAAGCCATATAAAGAAAGTGGCTTTCTCTAATACTGGACAAAAACATCAAACACGCTATAACAATGATCTACTTTTAAGATGATACTTAACTGTCGCTTCGATATTGAATGTTTAGTGTTATAAGTTTCAATTATAATCTATTCAACTACCGAAAGCACAAAAAACATCTCGAAATTACACGTGAAGTATACTCACAAACTTTAAAATCCATAGCGGGAGGTTGTCGGTATGTGCAACACGTCTTCGTAGGGCACCGTTAATTCACTTTCACGATTGTTATTTTGTACTTTAGTATTTTATACAGGTTACAATTTGTACTCAAACCAGTTTTATCGAGGCAATTCCTCTCGACAATCTAACGAGTATAATAAAATAATCGATTACAGCTCCTTCGAGTGTCAATCCAAGATAAATTACGCGTCACTGGATACACAATGTGTAGTTCGCAACAATTTATTCTATTTATATTCAGCATATTATTATAATTTGTGAATCAAAGCGATGCTGGCTGTGTTCGTAATGGGTGTTCGATCCAATGACGCGTAATTGTCGGGGATTTTGTGTAGGTGATGAACCGATTACATAGTAGTTACATACATCGCTATAGGCAGTGGAAACAATTGCAGGTAAAGCTTACCGAAAATATCTCTATTTGAAATAGTTCAATTTTAAGATTTATCCTCCTCCTTTAGTCGATCGCTCATTGCTGAGCATCGTGATGCGCCCGTCTGTGACCTTTTTTTGTAATTTGTAGCCACTTATGCCGGTCACTGGCACAGTGAAGTGCGTGGCTCAGTCTCATGTCCAGATACTCAAACACTTGGTCACTCCATCTTTTTCGGCCTCCGACCTCTGGATCGTCTTCCATCCACTTTACCCGTCACTATGAGTGCCACTACCGATCATGATCTTTGTTTTGGACTGGTTGATCTTTAGTCCCATTTCTTCGCTAACTATAACCAGACGTCGCAGCATCTCCTCCATTTCCCCTTCTGATGACGTCACTAATGTGGTATCATCAGTGTATCCCAAGTTCGAGATCTTTACGCCCCCAACTGTGACGCCACCACCCCATTCCTAAGATTTATAGGGTTTGTTTAAAATTCACGAACGCCCGAAAGCTTGTACATACATATTAGCACTATTCACTTGTCACCATATTCATATTCTTCGTTAAGACTGACTATCCTAGTCGATCTACAACAAACAGACGGTAACTATTGTTGATCGATAATACATACCATAGATTACTGTTGAATGTATTCATAGCGTGTCTCAGATGTTGCTTTTCAACATATCCTTGGTATAATGCAGTGTGTTTAACTCATTTTCGTTTTTACAAGCTCTAATACAAATTTTAAGTATCGATGGCAAGGCGTGTTGTCGGTCTTAAGCTTAAGCTTAAGGTTAAGGTATTAGCTCGGTATAAATATCTAGTCTAAAAAAAATGCGTTCTCGATCGAAGGATAGGATCGCTGTAGTTAAACTTGGACCTCACATTTCAAGGTTTGCGTTTTGACTGTATTGATATCTTGTAACTACGAAACGTACCTAAATTTTAAGAGTTTCACTCTCCAACTAAACTAATAAAGACAATTTGTACCGTATCTCTGCTTAGTATCGTATGAGTACAATTAAGTACGATTTTCTTTGCTTATGAAGTACGAATCATGAATTTTTAGAATAATTTTTTTAATAATAATCTCATCGACTGTACCTAGGTTCCAACGCAACGTTTAAATAATTTTATTTGTTTAATTATTCAAACACTTGATGAATACTTCTGTCTATTTTACACGATTACGAAGGGATTGATCATTTATTTATTCATAGCTTCGTAAGAAGTTAAGCGGAGCCCTCGAGTCTTAAGGTGGGTAGTACCATTCACGTTGTGATGTACATATTCCGGTAACCACTCCGGATAGCCCGTGAGCAAGTCTGCCCGTCCAGTGTAACAAAAATTCTACAACGGGGTAATGGATTCAATAAAAAAACCCTGGTTACTGATAGATGTATGTCACAAGTTGCTTTGACAATTTGAGTTAAACGAACTCCAGACATACAAGTACTTTGATTTACAAAATACTATTTTCGAAGTCTTCGTAGATTCGACACGGCCTAGTGCGAATTTTTTAACGTTCTCGATAGCGTAAAAGTTAACTCAAATTTGTATGGAGTGGGAACGTTTGCCTACGTTTCCCGCTAGGGGCGCTGTTTTATACTGGATTTGAAATTTTCGGGGATACATGTTCATGAATCAATTCGAAGATAAAGTATCTAAAATCAACGGAGAGATTTGTATCAGCTTGGAAACATATATTTTTCTATAGCCCTTGTAGGCAGACGACGAGCTTAAGGTCCTGATGTTGAGTGATTACCGTCGCCTATAGTAAGTAATACCAGGGGCAGAGCCGAGCAGCTACCTACCGAGTCAAGTCGGTGTCTACCTACTGGTGGCCTATAATTGCTGGTGGTAACGCGGACTGAACCCGTCCGGATGATATTCCTATCCTAGTCCTATATTCTTAAATTCCTATATATTGTCCGCCCCGAAAAGGACCTGTGTTCCGATTTGACGGGCGAAACAGTCGATATCGGACTTCAGCCGTTATAAATGTAGGATTGGTAAAAACGGAACGTATGAAAAGAGTGTGCAACGGAGCGGAACGTTACGATGTAAGTGAGAGAAAACGGTGAGAAAGCAATGAAGTAGGAAACCTATGGAAATGAAACGTCAACCAAAATTTCGTGCCACTGTGACGTCATCTGGCCACAAAACATGGCGGCTTTAGTGCTGTACAAAAGATTTCAATGTTATCAGGTTTTATCGATAAACGTTCTTGGCTCATTTTATTTTAAATATTGTTGAGTATTATTTATTTGTAGAATTTATACTTTAATGGGAAGTAAGTAGGTATATTGTTATGTGCAAATATGATATGATTTAGATGGGTGAAATCTAAGACAAGTTCGTCCTTCGAATTTGCCAAGTAAACGATATGATGATTTTTAAAAGTTGCTACACTGATTTTATAAAGTTGTCGTTTGTCGCAAAACATAAAGATATGGCGTAGTTCAAAGCCATCAGCCCATTTCTAGCATGCTAAATGTTATCGTATTTTGAGTACGTGTTTTTCTTAGACTATTACAATCTATTTTAATTGTTTTGCTGACTCTAAAGTCCGTAACATACTACCGCAGCGCACCCCAAGGAAGGTGCGCCGCACCATTTGAATCACTTTCGCTTGAGAGTGATTCAAATTTTAAACTTATCAAGGGACCGCGTGAAAAAAAAAACACCTACAGAACATTTATTCATTAATTACAAACGTCATTCCTTGTGACTTCCTCTCTAAAATCACTTAATTATTAAATATTTAACAAATTTACAATAGTGTTTTACTCACTGCGGAATAAAACTATTTTATTTAAATAGTTCCGAAGAGATTTTGTCGGTAGCCTTTTTCCCGAAATATCTAAACAGAATGTCTAAATATGTTTTGATGACATATTTTAAAGTGGTATTTATGATTAGTGTCATGATCAATAGATTCCGACCGAAAAATGGATTTTTCGGATGAGGGCTCCATAATGAATTTAAATACATATAGATAATAGTTTTAGGGCATCGACTTTCTTGAGATCCTATAAAATACGTTTTAATTATTATTTTTGTATGTTTTAAGCATGATAAATTATGAAATTTTATATAATCAATCATATTAAATCGATATCAAAGTCAATAAATAATGTACAACCCAAAACAGACGGCCGAACTGACGTGACAATGACATTTGGCGCGCTAAACATGGCGGATTTTCGGCCTCATTAGACGGAGACGGAGATATTTACGTATATTCATGTTTCATTTTATGTACGCACTGAAATACTGTTATATTGTTTTCCTGCGAGTTAAAGTGCTGAGTAAGAACGAGATAGATATATGTTTATGTATGTGCCTTCAAAATGGGTGCTATTTATATAAGCAATTGTACGTATAGAACAATATGTCGTGTCCCTACTATATAGGTCTATGTGAGAAAGGGAACAAAGAATGACAGACGGAATGACAGAGAAAAGCAAGATGGCGACGGTTAAAATGAGCAAGGCGTAAAAAACGGTAATTTAATTATTATATTACAGAAGATTTTGGAAAAGAAGAGTAAAAGTGTAACAGTGGAATAATTTTGTTTAATGCGCCGCGACCCCAATTCTACATGCATATACGAGTATGTATTTACTTAAAAATACCCAGTCCGAAACGACTTAAAAATAACGTACATGATAAAGACATTTGAATGTACATAATTATTTTTATAATTAACAACACTTTTAATCCAATTTGTACAGCTAAATTTGGATTTTAGTGTTTTTATTTATGTTTATTATTTATTTACGTAATAAATGATTATCCGGTCTTTACTTCTAAGCGCTTCAAACAATTTCCTGTAATCATTGTTCTCTTTTATAGTGATAATTTATTGTTGATTTTATAAATGAATGCAAACAAAAAAAAAACTATTATTCATAATTTGTATTTATGTTTATAGATGTTTTATCAAAATTAGAAAATGTTTTTGCATTTTATTTTTAAGAAGCTTATTCCATCTCTTTCGAAAACTTATCCGCAACACAACAAAGCATCAACACTTAATTATTAACTACATCTGTGTATATTAAGCGATTATTAAGAATTTTTTATATTATTTAGGATAGTTTTCCAATAATTTCCGTACTTAGGTGACATTTTTTCTAATGAAATACGTACTTCAAATGTTCACGAATGACTTGTACCTACACAATCAAGGAATAACATCGTATAATAAAAATCGAACTCGATAAATTGTAATTTGCGTAAATTTTACGTAATTACCATGGTGGTTGGGCGTCTCGTGAGCTCACACGAGTAAGTACCGCCGCCCCGCCTATTTCTGCCGCGAAACAGTAATGCGTTCCAGTTGGAACGGCGCGGCGGTACAGCCATTGTACTATAGAACTAAGACTTAGAACTCGTGTCCGTGTCTGTCTCATCATAAGTTTAATGGCGGAATAGGTGGTTGAGGTCTCTGGTGACAACTTGACACCAGGTGGACTAGTAGCTCATTAACTCATCTGAACTACTGGTGGTAGGTAACCGGTACCGAACTACCGATAATTCTATTTACTGGTGGTAAGACCTTTTGTAAGTCGGCGCGGGTAGGTACCACCACCCTGCCTATTTCTGCCGTGAAGCAGTAATGCGTTTCGGTTTGAAGGGTAGGGCAACCGTTCTAACTATACTGAGACCTTAGAACTTAAATCTCAAGGTGGGTGGCGCATTTTAGATGTCTATGGGCTCCAGTAACCACTTAACACCAGGTGGGCTGTAAGATCGTCCAACCATCTAAGCAATAAAAAAAAAACTAAAACAATTACGAGTATATAACACATACGTATACACATAAACAGACATACGTATTAATATAAAACCTGTAATTACTTACCAAGTACCAACTACTTCCATTTGTCCTTGACAACAGGGCCGTTTGGATTGTCGCAAAATCTCTTTCTCAAGTATCGAACCTTTGGGTCTGTGAAGGGACTTAGTTCTCTGTGAGCTTGGTACGGTATCTTCAATGGGGTGTTCACTGAGGAATTGTTCAAAATAATGATCCCTTCACCTTCTTTTTATCATCGTGCCGCCTTCTACCGGAGCAAGAATCATGCAATCATGTATGTGGAACCACTGTATTCATTCACAGTCTAGAGGTCGTATTCATAGATAATACACATAAACTAGTTATAGTTATGCAACTCGAGCATTCAACAAAATGTTTACGGGCGTCGGCCACTAGATGGCTTCGCTTCGATTGGTTTCTCATTGCTACTGCAGCAATATACTACCTATCCTATGTTTTATTTTTAATGAAGGATTTTGTAAATTTTCAGCTACCACTAATGGATGAAATTTAATCAATATTTATATATCAAATAAAGACTTGTATGATTTATTAGTTTTTTTAACACTACAAGTCCGACTGGCGGGCTTTTGTGAGTTTTCGTGAGTTCGTTGTTCCGGGCTGTTGGCGAAGATGATATAGAAATAATGTTTACGCCGATTTGGTATGAGGTTTTAATATAAAAGCGACACAATAACTAAAATAAAATACAAAATGAGTTGAGAATCGTACACTTAAACTAAGACTCGCAATATCTTACTGGTCGTCGTCGCGCGCGCTGAGGGCGTGTGTTTTCGCGCTCAGAGAGCTCTGTCTCAGCGGGCGGTAAGGCGGCGGCGGGGGCGGTATCGCACGTTCGGAAATTACGTTCCGTTATATCCTCCCCCTCCGAGTCACTAGAACGCCTCGTTAGTGGCTCGGCAGAAACAACAAGACGGGGCCGTCCACGCAGGCGTCGAGGCTGTACTGGAGCTGAGACCTGACCGGTTTGATTATGATACGGCTTCAAATGAGAAGCATGAAATTTCCCTAAAACCTGCGAATTCAAATCAGTAACCTCATAGGTAGTAGGACTAACGATATTGCTAATCTGGTAGGGTCCGTCACGCTTAGGCATGAACTTCTTCGTTCTACCTTTGGCGGCATCACTTAACAAGTGCGTAGAGAGAAGGACTAGATCACCTACTTGGTAACTGGGACCAGATAACTGAATTTTGTCGGTTTGCTACTTCCTATCATCCTGATGATGTTCAGCGTAAGGCATTGGGGCTCCCCCTGGTCTGAAGACATCCTCGTTGCACTGCAGAAGAGAAGCTAGGCGGTTAACGCTCTGGAGGACACAGCATAGTTCCCTCGTCTTCTCTTAAGAAATCAGCAGCAGAACAAGGCGTGAGGTCACTGGGGTACTCGAACTCCAATGGAAAAACTCGTTCAGAACCATGGTAGCGCCATGTCGAAGTATGGAAGTCGATGGCTAAACCAGCTGCTACTAAAAAGTCTACACCCAATAATGTGTCATTATCCTGGGCGTCCGGAAATACGACAAATTCCATGGGAATAACTTTACCCGGTAATAATTTTACATCAAGTGTCGTTGACAACATTTGTCGCGTTTGAATTGAACCATCGGCAAGCTTAACACGTATAGAACTAGACACAAAAGACTGATTATGCTGTTGCAGTAAGACGTAGAGTGAAGAACCGGCAACAGTTCGCTTGGCTGCGGTATCGATTAAACCCCTACCTCGGATTCCTAAAATCTCTATACCTAAAATAGGTCGTCGCGCGTTGCCATTTTGCGAAGAAGTTACAGACGAAAAGGTGACAAAACTATCACAATTAAAATTTGTGGTCCCTTTAACCGGTGCACAACTTTCCAGGTTGTGTCCTGAAAAATTTTTGGTCACCCTACTTTTATTATCGAATTCCTGGTTTTGTCCTGAAAAAATCATGGTCGCCCTAGTTGGTAACGGACCACGTGATGGACACTGACGAGAAAGTTTCGTTTTCCATTTATGTCTATTATTTACGACGCACTGATTAACACAAAATTCCCTAGGAGATACTGATTTCAATTCGCTAGGTACATGAGTGCGGTTAAAACACTCCCCCTGCTTAACAGGACGAGATAAGTATGTAAACAAAGGCGTATCGTCGGAACGCGGCAAATTTGAAATAATTTGTTTATCAACACGTTTATGGGACGAGTTTACATTACATTTACGGGCAAAATTATTATTTACGGGGGGTGTACTTACATTATTACGTGATACCAAACTTGGCTGAGCAGTGTGTAGCGATGAATTAACATAATTTGGGCGCTCAGTATGAACACTACTGGATAAACACAAGTCAGGTACAGCCCCAGTAAAAACCATAGGTAAACTTGCCAAATTACTCACCTGGGCGGACGACTTACCAACAGCTGATGTCTCAGCGGTCGTTGTACTTCGCGATCGCGTTCGCGGTATTTGAATAAAATCGACCGCGCTAAAATTTGAACTACATTTGGAACAATTAGAACGTATGACTCCGCTCGCGCCGCAACCGTAACATTTAATATTATTTACTTTACTAACTACGTTATCGTTACTGTCATTCGCGGTTTGTTTTAATAACAATTTACGACACTGATCACGCGTATGACCGTAACTTTTACAATAAACACAGTATCGACGTTTCTCGGGTTTTTCGGCGGTCGGAGTGGCGTCGGCGTTATCGCCTGACGAACGTTGGCGCGGGGAAACTTCTACAGCGGCCGTAGGTACACGCTGCGTTGCAGGCCGCGGCGGCTCGAGTCGAGCGCGGGCGGCGGCGGCGGCACCCTTTGATGTCTCGGCGACGGCGTTTGAAGTATGCGCTTCTTTCGTAGAATCCTCAATACTTCGTGCTTTTTGCAGGAGAACATTGAAACTGGTGATTTCCTCTCTACGAAGGCGTTTACGAATTTTATGATGCAGTAATCCGTATATCATATCGAGCTCCACTTTTTCACATAGGTCGCCTCGAGGTAGCTTCGCGAGGAGTGCTCGAGCCCTGGCGACAAACAGGTCGGTTTTCTCCATAGGCTGCTGGCCGTCTGCGAATAGGTCGACATAAATTCTGTGGGGTGGGCGGCGATCACCAAAAGCACTTCGTAGATTTGAGATGACGTCTTCCCATGTAGAAACTTGATGCTTGATACCCTGCCACCAGGTAGCGGCGGTGTGTGTCAGCAACATGGAAATACCTTTTACGGCTACGTCATCGGGAACATTGGCGGCGTCTCTGTACGATTCTATTGCGTCGATAAAACCTTCTACTGACTCGTCTGCGCGTCCGCTGAATACAGATTTGCAGCGGCTGAAGTTGTTGGCGGGCCGATGGTCGAATGTAGGAGTCGCCGACTGCCTGACGCTATCTAACAGCTCCCGGAACGCGTCTAGCTGCGTTCGTTGAAGGGTGTCGATCAGCATGGTGATGTCTTCCGGGCGGAAGCAAACACTGGCGGGCGGCGCGTCACTCGACGGCGCGTGGGGCGGCGACGCGGCTCTCGCGTCGCGCTCCTCGGAATTCGGCATCTTCTTCGGCGGCATTATTTGACGACGGTTTAGTCGGTAAAGTCAGGAAAACACAAATCGTTCATGCAGGCACAATAATTTCTTATAAATATCACTTCACAGCTAAACGTTCGGGCGCCATTTTTAACACTACAAGTCCGACTGGCGGGCTTTTGTGAGTTTTCGTGAGTTCGTTGTTCCGGGCTGTTGGCGAAGATGATATAGAAATAATGTTTACGCCGATTTGGTATGAGGTTTTAATATAAAAGCGACACAATAACTAAAATAAAATACAAAATGAGTTGAGAATCGTACACTTAAACTAAGACTCGCAATATCTTACTGGTCGTCGTCGCGCGCGCTGAGGGCGTGTGTTTTCGCGCTCAGAGAGCTCTGTCTCAGCGGGCGGTAAGGCGGCGGCGGGGGCGGTATCGCACGTTCGGAAATTACGTTCCGTTATATTTTTATTTTTCTGTGTTTATTTACACAATAATTAAATGTCTTAACTTTAACAACATTTAAGTTTAGGGGCATCCGCTACAAGATGTCGATAGTTTCTATACAAAAAAATATTTATCTTATCACTTTATTCCTACTCCGCGGCCGGCCGTCACGCGACATGCAACACATGGACGAAAAAATTTGAGACGATGTAATAAATATAAATTAAGTATCGCAGTTTCAGGGCCCTGGTCTTATTTGCCATACAACATCCGGCTCTCTGTCACGGTGTTTGCCTACACCACATCCGTCTTTAAGCAATGTTTGAGAAGAGTCCTGAACAGCAAACAGGGGCTCGGCTGTGCCCCTGGCAGTTCATGAGTATGGCGAATGCTTGTTTGTCGTCTGGCAACAAAAAAAAAACAATTTCTTCAGAGATTGGACGTCTTGAAATGGCACTCACATCGTGAATCCCGCGGCCAATCTATAGACCGCGCCTAGTTTGAATAGAACCGAGAGAACTATTATTTATTATAGATATTATACATACTCGTATTTTGGTAATTTATACTAATCATACGATTTCTGAAAACTAAAAACATTCATTGTAATTCAGTCTCACATTTATTAATATTTTGATTCAAAGAAGCAATGACGTATTCAAACCTCAGCGATTTTCCATTGGACGACTGTTTCCGGGAATCTGTAATTCGAACAACAACGTTTGAACTAGGAAACTAAGGTTCTATTAATAGCCACAAGTCAAACCTAATAGATTGCTTTTTTTGCTACCTATTCGCTGAGTAGCCTAAGAGGCTATTTCAGCTACGCACAGACTGGTAGGTGAGCTCACGTGCTCAACCTGGGAGAATTTCCTAACACTAGCTCAAGCAAGAGCAGTGCTTCGCAGAGTCTAGCACCGGATCGGAATCGCGACCCGCTGAGAAGATCTGGCGAGAAACTCAGTGGGCTGTGTCTATGGGCTACTTCGCTCGTCGAACTCTTTGCCTTAGTCGAGGCGAGACGAGTTCGACTAAAGCACTGAGAATGTTAGGATAATGGGTAACTCTTACTATGATAAATGTACGATTATTATAAATGACATTCAAAAGGAGTGATTAGTGAGCTGCATACTTCTAGATTACGTGTTTTTCTCTCATTTTACGATCGACTGCCGGTCATTGATCGTAAATGGCCAAACTCTTGCCCAGAGTGGCGACCTAGTCCAGCCATCTAAAAAACGGGCTAATTTAGACTTGTGTATTTTCCCCCCGGCAAAGATCATGAGGCGACCTGAGGGGGTTGAGGCTGTGCGGCGCACTACCAGCATCCTAGCACCCTGTCAAGGAGTAATAAAATAAAACAGCAACCGTTTGACGGTGTATCGCGTCCCGGCCCGGCAGACCGGTTCTGGTCCAGCGGGGTATTCCGGGACACCAGCGACACCGTCTGGGCGGCCTGATGGGCTGCCGTACCGTGTCGGCCGCCGTTTCAGAGCCTTCAATTCGCCTCGAAGGCTCCGTTGGCCGGACGCCGTTGGGGTGAGCTGCATCGTCAGGTTGTAGTGCTGACCGCAGTAACCCTTTACCTCATTCGGGTTCTGACCTCCGAGGGGGTCGGACATTTGGACGAAGAGAGCAGGGGAATCGCTTAGTGGGTAGTGTCCTGAAAACATCATTGGGCCCGCGGTTCGCAGTCACAGACCAGCCCCCTATAGCCGCGCGTCCACTAGGCGCAGGGAACTCGTCGGGGGTTCGGCCGCGGCTAAAATTAGTTAAAATAGTTTTGAGATTCCTTTTTGTTATTATTTTATAAAATCTGACCTCAAAAGTCTTTATAACGCGAGGCTAATACTTACATACCTCCAAACCCTAGTAGCTACTAACTTATTAATCCTACATTGTAATTGTATAGCAAAAAAAAAACAAAAAAAAAACCAGACTGCCAATAATCGCCAAACAATAATATAACAGTTCTTGTATTTACATATATCACATTTTCGTGTTAATTTTATTGTCGGTACATGCGTATAATTTCTGCTAAAGCCCACAAGGAAAATACGGATATTTGTAAACACAATAACTACTGTGTCAATATCGAGACGAATAAATATTTATTTTCCATTTCAAAGTGATCAGGGTCGCGATATGTTTTCCTTGTATTATATTGATATAGATTTCATTCATGAATTATTTGTCAACAAATTGTTTCACATTTTACGACTCAAATGATTGTGATACATTTGCGGTCTTAAATAATAAGTGTGTTATCTGTGACTTGGACGAAAACAAAGACGAACTAAATTCATTTACATATGATCAGGGCCACATTTAGACTTAATGCCGCTCCTGGGCACCGGAAAAAATCTGCCACAATACTAGAATTTTACATAAACTTCTAATTTATATATTTCAAAATTTATAATAACATCGTGTAATAAAAAATGAAACCCGCAAAATTATAATTTGCGTAATTACTGGTGGTAGGACCTCTTATGAGTTCGCGCGGGCGGGTACCATCGCCCTGCCTGTTTCTTCCGTGAAGCAGTAATGCGAAACGCAGGTTTGAAGGGCGGGGCAGCCGTTGTAACTATACCGAGATCTTAGAACTTATATCTCAAGGTGGGTGGCACATTTACGTTGTAGATGTCTATGGGCTCCAGTAAACACTTAACACCAGGTGGGCTGTGAGCTTGTCCACCCATCTTAGCAATAATAAAAAAAAAATTCAAAAACTTTGCAAAAATTGCAGAAACTTTATTATATGTTATATATTCCAAAAACATAAATAAATATTTGTTTTTTCTAGCAATTATAAATTTGACACTAAGGGTGATTCATAATTATACTAAATCAAAAAAAAACTACTAATTACATTTCATTGATTCCAGAAAATAGAAAAATCGATTATTATTTTAAATCTTCAAGGAAATAAATTGATTAAAACATTTTGATTATTAATTTTTACCAAAAGTGCCAAAATTATAATTCACAAATAATGGACGAATTGAATTTCTTGAATTATCAATTAAACAGAAAATTATTAATTAATGGAATTAATTAATTATATCGGACAAACATGACAAGACTAAAAAAAAATTTTTTCACTTTCAAAAATTTGCCGCCCTAGGCACTTGTCCTGACTGCCCCTAGTGTAAATCCATCACGGCATATGATTCACCCACATGTGACGTACTTTGTTAGTGATTGACATTAACGAATAAAAATGTGAAATCACACCTTAAAATTTATTTGTCGACAAAAACAATATTATCTACTATATAACGGAACGAAATTTCCGAACGTGAGATACCGCCCCCACCGCCGCCTTACCCCCCGCTGAGACAGAGCTCGCCGAGTAAAATATTGCGAGTCTTATTAGTTTAACTGTACGATTCTCAACTCATTTTTTATTTTATTTTAGTTATTGTGTCGCTTTTATATTAAAACCTCATACCAAATCAGTGTAAACATTATTTCTATATCATCTTCGCCAACAGCCCGGAACAACGAACTCACAAAAACTCACAAAAGCCCCGCCAGTCGGACTTATAGTGTTAAACTACTTCATTAACTTTTAGTTACTTTCTCCATTAGTTTGCTACTGTATCCGGTTGTCATTTGTCTATATTATTTATTATCGACTATTGCGTGGATAATGAGTCTCCTGTAGTTTTAATATCAAGGGTTTTTATTGTAGGTACTTACCGAAACACTAAACAAACTTCCTAACAGTATTATTATGTATTATTGAGAGCTGGGGCTTTCTTTGCCTACAATAGGTAGTAGTAGTAATCTCTAAGTAAGTACTAAAGGATTATGCTAGCTTTACCGGACGTGTGGGCGAGCTCATGGGGCTCAGCCTGGGAGACTTTGCTAGCATCGGCCCTAACCAGAGCAGTACTTCGCTGAAACTATCACTGGATCGGAATCGCGACCCCTTGAGAAGGCCCAACGAGAAATTCAGTAGGCTGTATCTCTGGATTAGTTTACACTACGAATCCTTGATCATATTTCACGAGTTCGACGAGAACGGTGACCGATGCTTGGAATGCCTAAAAGCATCGGTCAACTACAGATCGGGAGGATCCGACATGATATGTTTGGGGTGACGGCGACTGTTTGCCGTTTGGTCGTGTCGTGTGCTTAGTGCGAGTTTTTTAACGTTCTCGATAGCGTAAACGTTAATTCAAATTTGTATGGAGTTGGAACGTTTGTTTGCGTGCGTTTGCCGCTAGGGGCGCTGTTCCAACTCCATACAAATATGAATTAACGTTTACGCTATCGAGAACGTTAAAAAACTCGCACTCAGCACACTGATCGTTAATTTCATTTCCGGAGGCTACGATAAGAGTTCTCTTGTCGCGTTGCTATTCCGAAATAGCGTTTCCAAGCCGTCTGTCTTGTAATGCTCACTAATAGACTCTAGTTTAAGGTCGTCGTGAAGTTTTACGTTCCTTACGCACCACGGTGCTACGACGGCTCTCCTGTAAAGGCGAGATCGAATGACTTGCAAGGTGTCTATGTGGGTGCGGGCCTCGTGAGCGAACAATACACTTGCATACGTCATGACCGTAGAGCAGAGGCTGAAGCCCACTGAATTTCTCGGCTGATTTTCTCAGTGGGTCGCGTTTCCGATCCGGTGGTAGATTCAGCGAAGCACTGCTCTGGCTAGGGCCAGTGTTAGCAACCTCCTGGTTTAAGCACCGAGAGCTCACCTACACGCTAGGGTAATACTGATATAGCCTCTCAAGGCTATCAGCATAGGTAGGGAAAAAAAGGGGCTGGTAGATCTATAGAACCACCACTCGTCCGTGCTAATATTGTTCGCGAAACCGATAAAATAGGTAATAATGGTAGGTACATTATGAAGGTACCTACTTGTCTGCTAACTTATTTGTGATAAGGCGTATTGTGACCCGAATGTGTACCCACTTGCCTACTCCTACCAAGAAGCAGTTATGCGTTATAACGTAAAGGATCGCAGATACCTCTAATGCAAATCAAATAAATAAAAATAGGTACCTGATCCGCGTGCTTATGGTCTCAAAAGCTAAAAATAAATTTAATCGAACAAATAAACAAAACTAACATCACCATTGCCGAAATATGGGAGTTATAAATATTTTAAATTGATATTCTGGTTAAAGGTGCCGTAAATTAGCCACCTAATTGTAATAAAAATATTGAACAAACTGAGACGCGAAGGACTGAATCGTCTTATAAACGAGACGCACGTAAATTCTTAACATAAATATCTCTGTTTTTCGTGAAATAATTATTTAAGATAATTAAATTATCGTTCGGTTGATTGAACAGCAAACATTAGTCTAAGGTGTATTTGTTTAACGATAATTTGTGAAGCTAAATATGACATCACGTAAATAGCATTGAGCTCTGGCGTAGACAAAAACAATTCAAAATCCAAATACAAGGATTGAACACAAACGTCCCTGGCTCAAACATCATTTACCTAACTTTAGTTGTCACTATTTGCGAAAAGCTATTAAAGTAATCACACGCCGCGTCAGTCGATAACACAACTACATAAAGAATTTTTAAGATAATTACGTCGACCGTTCAACTTATGAGCAGGAATAACTCAAATAACAACAACTAATAAAAACATTATTTCTTGCAAATCTGCTGTGTTTGTATCTACAGACTGTCTAGATGTAAATATGAAATAATACGCGCGTTTTATCTAAGATTGGATTAATCTTAATACCGATCAATCAAGTTTCGTATTTCTCAGTTTTCAAGGTAACGCTGTGATATCACCATTTACAATGTTTTCAAGCGATCTTCAATAGATACTGAAATTTTTATTGGTCTAAATGCCTAGCAGCGGTCACATATCTACAGCAGACGGTCGATTGTAGGTATGACTCCACTCCTCAAACAGAGATGCGCTATTTAGACAGGACGGTGAAAATTATACTGAATGGAGAAAGTCCTGCAATCAGTACTTATGCGATTTTATAATTTTAGCGGGTTTGATTTTTATTAAAGGTATTTGGTTCTTCGTGAGAGAAGGTGTAGACTTAAAAAAAAGGCAGGTGATTTGAACCCTAGTCGCATATATCGATACGGTACCGCATTCAAGAAAACAATGCAAGACTCTATCCATTTTTGACATTAATAGGCACTATGAAGCTGATTTTTATTTTTTATTGCTTAGATGGGTGGACGATCTCACAACCCGTGTTAAGTGGTTACTGGAGCCCATAGACATCTCCAACATAAGTGCGCCACCCACCTTGAAATCTAAGTTCTAAGGTGTCAGTGTAGTTACAATATGAAATATAAGAATACATAAATAGTAATCGTAAATTAGGCCAAACAAAAAAATCTATATTCATAATTTAAATAATTAAAATTATGTGAGTTAAAAAAATTACTTTTGATATCATATTTGGAATAAATTGAATAACAATTCTGTATGATAGAAGTCAAATTCCGACAATTATTAAACAACAATTACAATTCCAGTACGTGCTAAGTAGAATACTAGAAAACTTCCGAAAATTTGTCTCATGTTTGAGAATAAATGACGCAGGCACAACACTGGGGATTTACGGTTTCCTTGTGTCTTGGGAAACAACATTGTATTAGTATTTAAACGCGGGTGAATCGATGTCTGACATCATTGTGATATCGGCTTTCTCACAGCGCGAGTCAAAAAGAATTGGGACTTAAAAAAATATATATTAATTCACAATGTACTTCAAAATAGGTATGTTAAACGAATACTCCAATTATGGCTTATTTTTCGCTTTCAACAATTTTTAATTGCGTAATGTTAAATACGATTGTACAGGGTCAAGTATGAGGTCTCGAAATTGTATAATGACGGTCTCTTGTCTGTGACGTTTTTTGTTTGTTTTTGTGCTTAATTTATTACACTCATTTGTTTTCGTGACTAATGTTTATTATATGCCTCGAATCGAACCATCACAAATATTTAAGTATGTGTGTACAATTTTTGGTACACGATATTATTATCTTACTAATGAGAATTTGAGTTGAACCCACACTACGCTATCACCTAACATGATCAAATTCATGATCATCATTCACTATCAATGATCAAATTATCACTTACCTAATATCTTTTCTCCATTTCTACGTTCTATGGTGCTTTAGCAACATTGGTAAGTTCATACGATGCATTGTTGGGCGCGTTTGGGAATCCCATTAAACTTTCTATAGCAGGTTCTTACCATGCGATCCCGTACTTTCTAGTTGCATAATGCTGCCATAAATGCAACTAGACGGTAAAAATCGCTATTTTTTATCTTCCGAGCAAATTATTAGGGGAGACCGGGGCAAGATGAGATAGCTAAGACAAAACTCGCTGTACAAAGTCAATTATACTCTTTAATTAAATTCTTTAAGAAAATAAGTAACACTTATACATTTGTTTCTTAAAATTAATACTTTTATCAAGCAAAATCACAGAAGTTTTTTTACAAATAATGATTAACGATAAGGTGGCGAATTTCCCGTCTTGCCCCAAGGACGGGGTAAGATGGGAAATGCTACGGGGCAAAAGGAGTACGTATTTCAATCGGGCAGACAGCGTTCACAAATGTGTGCCTCGTCGTCTTCTTCATCTACTTCGGCACAAGAATCGTGTGCCCAACCATGGCAAATACTGCAGATAGCCCAACCCTCGGTTGACTCTTAGTATAAGTAACCACAATAGATGCAGGCCCAGTCACCGTCCTCCAATTAAGATGAACTATATTCCGATTCGATTTTTTTGGCGAGTCTTTTAGCTTGATGCTTGTTTTCAGTTCTTTTTATCTTCTTATTTCCAACTTTGTGTATTCGTTTTTTACGCCAATCTTCTCCTGCCATGTCGGTTTCTTCATTAAGTGGGCTATCTATATGATTTCGCTGACCCAACTGATAAGCTATTACACGAAGTTATTTTCCGGTTAACCGTGCTTCCTGCATACTTAGTAGTTACCGGAATCAGTGTTGTCATCCACAGTATCACGAGCTTTTCTTACACGGCGGCGGAACATCATATGTAGCAGAGGCTCGAGGAAGCCCCATCCTGTTATTAAGAACCCGTAAGACCCAGAATTTCAGGGTCCCATTTGCCACGATCTGTTTTTCGTTTATAGTTCCAAACCATTGTATCTGAGAAAAAAACTTTGTGAGAAAAGCAACGATATATCTTGCTTATGTAGAAATTACAACAATATGTACTTATACTTTTTTATACCACTAAGTCAGCAAAGAAGCTTACAGTTCGCCTGATGGAAAGCGGTTACCGTAGCCTATGGACGCTTGCTTAACCAGGTTGCAATACTATCGATAGGTAAGTGGGTACACAGAAGAAATTATTTAAACCACAAGGAAGGGGCAAAACGGGATAGTATTCCGTTATGCCCCGATCATTGTGCCCCGACCCACATGTATTCAAATAAGTTGAAGCAATTCTAATCTTAAATCTTACCGGCGCAAAAATCTAATCTGAATTTAAAGTGTTATAGTACTACAACACGCTGAGGATTAAAACATTATATTAATTCAAGTACTTACATGTCTGCACATCAGTTTCTTAACCAAAAACCGGATAAAAACACTTGCAAAATCAGTTTTTTTCCTATACAACGCAAAAACAAGATCCAATACGTTCGCTTTGCTCGGACGCACTTGCGCAGTCTGAATTTCGTGCAAATGGCGCCGTTACCGGTCCGAACATGATTACCATTCATGGACAAAAGCTTATTTCCCGTCCTGCCCCGAACTTCATCTTGCCCCGGTCTCCCCTACATTTTATAAATTTTAGAATGAATATCTCAAGTTGATAAAAATTACTGATTCCCTGATTTTGGCTTGGCCCGAATTATATAGTACGCTAGGCCCACCGGTGGGCCGCATTACGTTCAACATGTTAATCAACCGACTTTTTTCTTCTCAGGAATGTTACTAGCAGCCACGCAGGTGATTGCAACAGTTGCCTATCCACCAAGCTGTGCGTGCTACAGAAACCAGCGACCAGTGTGCGGCACTGATGGGAAAACGTACAACAACGAGTGCCTCCTCGACTGTGCTACCAGAGATGATCCCGGTCTAAGGGTCAGATATCAAGGACCCTGCTCGGAAGGAAACGTCGGCTTCCCCACGTGCCACTGCGACTACGACCTCAACCAGGTGTGCGGTAGCGACAACCACACGTACGACAACGCTTGCCTGTTGAACTGCGCCGCAGCCACGAACCCGGGCCTTAGCATTTTGTACTCGGGCCTTTGCGCAGACGAAGTCAAAATCGTGGACGGCCCCAGCAAATACCCTTCGTGCACGTGCACGCGCGAGATGAAGCCGGTCTGCGGCAGTGACGGTATCACGTACAACAACGACTGCCTCTTAAACTGTGCCACAATCAATGACTCCAGACTCGGCATCGAATACTACGGGCCTTGCGCTGATAAGGTTATAGTCGTCGACCCTGGGACGCAAGGGGACTACCACGGAATACGACCCCTGTAATCGAACTGCATACGCCTCTCGTACAAGTCTTATAGCGTAGTTTTAGGGCAATGTTTAGAACGACAGATGACCGCCTTCATAGAGAGAAAAAGACCTTTTTTTTATTTAACAAAATCCCACAAGACTTTGGCAGAGTTGTTTGAAATAATTACTTTTACTAATCCGCAGAGTAATATTTTAATTTAAATTTTTATACGATTTTTTTTAAGTTACAATTATGATTTTTTTTTCTTACACGCACACAAGATATTTGTTAAGGTTTTTTATTCCAATACATTATATTTTATATAATTATTTTATTTTGATTCCATTATTAATTTGAATGTTATGTTCATATGCTTAATCAGACAAATTGTTTTAATTTTTAATTATGACACGTAAAGCAATATAATATTATTATTCTGATGATAACCAATACATTTTACCCGACGCCCGTAGCACAGAAATGCTAATTTCTGATATATATTTTAAGAACTACACAGATAACACTTGTAATTAAAATGTTAACAAAAATAAAACGAGATCAACACAATCAGAATACTTATAAATTTTTATTTTGTAAAAATCTCCAAAATTTATTTTTTAATTGAAGACATGAATAGATGAATGGGTTAAGTAATATTTTTAAGATTTTTGATTTTTTACATTGAATGAAGGTGTTATGTGCCTATAAACCATATTAGACCTTAAAGCTTTGGCTTTAAATGGTATTTTTGTGCTATTGATGAGGGAGTTATATACAAAGAAAAAGTACAAGCAGGTAACAAAAGTTTGTTGCACCTTTTCTCAAAATTAGCACGTTGTATCATATCCCCTTCATCTACTCATGTCTTCAATTATCACAAAATTGCTCACATGTACAATGTCTGTATTTGTTCTAGATAGAAGAAAAAATTTTCACGCTTACCTTTTTTTTATTATTGACAATTCAGCCTCTTGACTACCATGTGTAACATCACAAAAAAAATATATATATAAACTATTTAATTAACAAATTATGCGGAAATAATCGAAAATTAAATTACAAACTCCCAGGACGTCGTTTCAATATGCTCTGATCGATTCCAGCTATATATATATATATATTTAGTTAATTTTAGTTTAACATTAGTTATATTAATGTATGTAACTAAATGAAACTAATACTGTTATATATATCTCCAATTAAAGAACCAGGTCACGCAATCCATCAACGTTATTCTGGATGTGGGCTCACACGACGCCCTACCACGAGTATAACTAATTTAGAGGGTCATAAATTAAATAATCGTTATCTAAAATGGAATTTACAAAATAATGGTTTGTAAGGTAACGTTATCTGACCTTTATTAGATTCATATTAATTAGTTGTCAAAACTAAATATATACATAAACACATACTTAAATGAACTGGTTCTTAAAACAAAAATTCTTACATTATCAGAAATTCATTTTCCACTTAGTGTTTTAACGTGCATTAACTAGGTACCTGCTTGTGTTATATTGTAATTTAGATTTATACTTGTTTCAATATGTTAAAGTGATTTTGACACGAAGATCTAAGCAATCAGAAATATTATATTCTATTATATGAACTAACAATAGTTCTAGTATGCAACTTTAATTAAGGAATAATTAGTATGTTTTTTTTTTTCAATTTCAAATATCAATATTGGCCAGCATCTCATCACCGTCTTGATCATCGAAAAACGATTTATCCAGTTCATCTGCCAGCGCCTTATTAATGTCAATGTCAGAATCCCAGTCCATTTCATCTGTCAACGTCACATTTGACGTGACTTGCTCTGTGTTGCCAGATGTGTTTGCGAGAGATTTGAGGGGATTTTTCCTGATGTTCGTTCCGGGAATGTAGTCGTTTTTGTTTTTAGGCCGTTTCGGCGGCGTGAGGTATTGTGTTATACGGTTATTGCTTTCCTGAAAAAAATCTATATATTGAGAACGAATATTTGTTTGTCCCTAAGCGTTCCTGAGCCGATCATGTGACTGTAATATAACTTGGTACAGTTTTAACCCCACTACCTTCCCCGAAGATTTCTGTTAACTTTTGCACGAACTAGGAACGCACACTAGGTGGCACCGGTGTAGATTTACTAAACTGGTGTTTTTTTATGGCTTAGATGGGACGAGCTCACAGCCCACCTAGTGTTAAGTTTTTTTTTAAGTGTTTACTGGAACCCATAGACATCTACGTCAATGCGCCACCCACTTTGAAATATAAGTTCTAAGGTCTCAGTATAGTTACAGTGGCTGCCCCACCCTTCAAACCGAAACGCGTTACTGCTTCACGGCAGGAATAGGCAAGGTCATGATACCTACCCCTGCGGACTCACAAGAGGTCCTACCACCAGTATTCATGTGGATGGCGATAGTCTCGCGGTTACGCTAACCAATCTACTATCATTGCAATCCAGAAATATACTACTAAGTAATATACTGTTATAACATTCGTGTGTGACATACAGATGTTTTAATTAATTTCGAAACCTAAAAGTTTGTTGGGTGTCGCTCTGATCTTAAAACTGTAGCTTATCTTGCGATCACTGTAATCGTTCTGAGGCGATATATGAACAACGCGTAAAATCAGCAAAAAATATAATTTACGTAGTTACTGTACATTCTGGACATAGCGAGCGGGCGGACTTTTTGGCGGTAACGCGAGTAATGAAGTTTTGTGATTTGTTTTATTTTGTCTATTTTGTATTTCTTCAGGATTAAAAGCGTAATAACGGTGGTTTATTGACTGTTTAAAATCTGTGAAAGTGCACAAATGTGAGAAAATGAAACATTTCATTTAATTTCATCCCGGTTGATTAATGTCTCAAATTAATCATCTTCATTTCATTTCACTCCACATTATAATTTCTTTATAAAAATAAGATTATAAATTAAAATAAGACATGACTTAAAGGTCTTAGTTACTAGGTCATAAAGGTCCTTAAAAAAACGAGCGGGCGACGGCGCACACATTGCGATGTCTACGAAAGGTCGTTGACCTGCGGCAGTAAATAAACAGACTGCTCTGACCGCCGTCGTCTTTTAACATTAGAAGCCACAACGTAATAACGTAAATACCTGATGTTTCATCGTGGTGGTCTCGAATGTATCTTCGCTTAGACCTACGTCGTTCAGCACCTGGAATGAGACAGGGGTGTCTACGTCAGAGTTACAGAGGACAGTGCAGTCCATGGACAGCAGGCGGGGGACACGTACGTTGAGTTTACTCTGCAGCAGGGGCCACATGTGGTCGTCGGCCGTCCGCGCCGCCAGCAGGTACCGCACGCGCACTGCGCCCGCACGACCCAGCCGGTGCGCGCGGGACTCCGCCTGCGTCAGGATCTGTGCCACACGAGGATCTCTCAACGCTGGACAATGTGTTTGTACACAGGACCCCTCAAACAAATTGAGACACTAAAATACTCTTAATTACATTTTAGTAAATGCTTTCTTCGCGGCAGAAATATATGAAATTTATAAAAATAATTATATTTGCGAAGTACGCATTGAACTAAGCTGAGATTAGGCGAGGCGAGACAGTTGGATACAATCATCATCATCATCAGCCTTTATCTGCCCACTGCTGGACATAGGCCTTCCCCAATGCCTTCCACATAATGCGGTCCTCCGCCTTCCGTATCCAACACAATACACCGGTTAAATTTATTTCTATAATTTCGTATTAGTTAAAAAAAAGGGTGCGTGTACTTATGTACGCGCGTAACAAGTTATACTTTATTTTTATATATATATATTTTTTTTTTATTTAAATTTTAATCAATTTGAAAAATAATCGATTAAACAACATCCCCAAACACGCATATTGGACTTCCCTTATCTTGACATCGTATAAATTCGGTAATTCTCGGTACGGTTCGGAAAGTTCACCTGCGGCTATATTCAGACTCGCCAAGTTACGTCGGTCGTATTGTAATGAGCGATTTAGTGGGCAACTTCATTCTGTTAATTTTGTGTCACGGTGCGCGCGCATCGTAAAATTTCACTCTCATCAATTTTTCATAACGCGCCCAATGAAGTATAACTTCAAAAATATATTTAATATCATCATTCGGCTGAATTTTGACGCATTGGTTGGAATCAATATCTTACAAAAGTTATATAACATATTAAGTAAAAAAATTTTCCTTCAAACTTTTATGCTATTCTTGTTTGAATCATCCGAATGTGAATAAATTAAATATATATCAATTTAATAATGGAATTCTAAAAATATCTAAAAATAAAGTGTAATAATCCGTTAATACAACACATGTACATGTAATTAGGTACATATAAATAGATGATTGTAGATTAATAAGATTTATTTTATTTTTATTTTATGACAACCCTTGCACGTTTTCTTCCAATAGCGTAAGGAACTGTGCGGTGTTGACCGACATCAAAAGCGTTTCTCGTGTTGATTGTAAACTACGTCTATAGTGGTAATCGTATGAATGTTGTCTCGAATCCTGACCCCTGGGTTCCAGTGCAGCTCTGCGAAGAGCACGAGGTCGGCGGCGGTGAGCGTGATGCCCGCGCTGGCCGCCGTGATGGACAGCACGCCCGCGCGGCACGACGCGCTGTGCTGGAACCGGTCCACTAGATCCTGAAATTAAACATTCCTTGAACATTGAACTTCCGCAAAAGGAATCAGACAAAGACACCGGTGAACTTTTGGCGGGAACGCGAGGAGTGAAGTTGTGTGTTTTGTTTTATTTTGTCTATTTAGTGTTTCTTCAGGTTGTAAATTTGTAATAACGGTGGTTTATTAACTGTTTAATATATGTGAAAGTGCACAAATGTAGGAAAATGAAACAAAGTCCACTGAAAAAGTCTCAGTAAATGACCACCATTTTACTGAGATTATATGTCATCCCATATCATCTAGTCTCATTTCATTTCTTTTCACTTCATATTATAATTTTTCGTAAAAGTAAGAATATAAATTAAAATAAGACATGACTTAAAGGTCTTAGTTAACAGGTCATAAAATCCCCTAAAAAAAGAAAGAAAGACACCGTGTTCCCTCGTTCCCGAACCCCATGTTGATCGTCTCCTTCAGCGGCAGTGGGGAATATTCTAAACATTGGTACCACCTTCATATTTGGTCCCTTTACTGCGCAATATACCGCGGTCTCTTTACAATTGAGACGCGGACCTCGGTCTCGAGGTGGGTGGCCGCACTCACGTTATGAAATAACATGTGCGGATAAATAAAAAATAAAAATCGCAACACTAAACTGAATGTTGTCAGTTGTCAAATTTACAAAACGTCAATGTCACGGGAGGTCGCTTGTCTGTGGTTGTAACTGTTACGGACTTTTTGGCGGGAACACGAGGAGCGAAGTTGTGTGAGTTGTTTCATTTTGTTGATTTAGTGTTCCTAATTTCACCCAAATCGATTAGCCTCAAATAAATCAACATCGTCTCATTCTGCTACACATCGTCATTAATATCGAATTTCTTTAAACCCTGTACGTTGTCAAAAACGGCGTTTGCCAGAGTGACTTTTGCGGTTTTATCGACAACATTTCCACAAGTACATAGTCGACTCACGGCGCGCGAGTGTGCGGGCGTCGATCCCGCGATGCAGATGTAGTTGACGGCCGCCTCGTCCAGCGTCGCGCATATGGCCTCTATAACGATCTTGTGGTGCGCGAACACTAGGAACTTGCCCGTCGCTTCGTCTGCCAGTAACTGCTTTATGTACTTACTGTAATTGTAAATATATTCAATCATAATACATAGAGAGGAGACGTTCAAAAAAGTCAACGGATAAGACGTCCGGTGCATTCGTATGTAGCGATGCACCGGTGTTCGAATCCCGCAGGCGGGTACCAATTTTTCTAATGAAATACGTACTCAACAAATGTTCACGATTGACTTCCACGGTGAAGGAATAACATCGTGTAATAAAAATTAAACCCGCAAAATTATAATTTGCGTAATTACCTCTTGTGAGTCCGCGCGTGTAGATACCACCACCCTGCCTATTTCTGCCGTGAAGCAGTAAAGCGTTTCGGAAGGGTGGGGCAGCCGTTTAACTATACTTGAGACCTTACAACTTATATCTCAAGGTGGGTGGCGCATTTACGTTATAAATGTCTATGGGCTCCAGTAACCACTTAACACCAGGTGGGCTGTGAGCTCGTCCACCCACATAAGCAATAAAAAATAAAATAAAATAAGACTTTTTTTAAGATTCCCGCCTCTAGACTACATTTTTTTGGTCATAACATACTTGGTGAGTGTCGCCACTTGAACTTGAGCCATGAGACCGAAGTATTAGTTGCGGGCGTGCAGGTCCGTTAACACTGGTATAGATCGCATAACGTCTTTACCAAATGGCTGGCAGTTTGACTCGAGCCGATTCGCTGAAGAAGTTGATGAGGGCCGCATGCTTCTCCGCCTTGCTGGTCGAGCGGTACGTGTCGGCCAGCTGCGAGAGACCCGCCTCGTCTTCCGCGCTGTACCGGAGCAGGGTGCTGTCCAACAGCACTGATTCTCTGCACATCATAAAGGAAAGGATAACGCCATCTATCGTCGGATAGCAGAAACGAATATCAAAAGAACTAGTAATATCGAGAACGCTCGAAAAGTGCAGCGCCATCTATTTATTATCAAATAGTGGAAACACATGTCTGGCCTTATCGAGAATATTCTCGATAATTCTAGGGATGTCGTATCGACTATAAAAGCGTTGCAGAGATGGCACGCAGTCAGTAATCAGATCTACTCGAAGTAAAACAGCAAACGGATCACCTGAAGTGAAGCGGAAGAAGTGAATTACGAGTTGTGAGTGTTTTAAGTGTTAAATAGAGTTCTAAATTGTACTTCGGTAGAATTGTTATTTATCCCGAACCGCAGCGCGTAACAATACAATCGATCGAGCTTCGGACAAATAAAAGTTTTTCACCGAAAATACAATAATAGATGACATTGAATATGTTAATAGACAACGTCCCAACAATCTCTTCCAGCTTTTTCACTCGCATTGATTTAAAAGATCTCTGTCAGATTCTTTCGCTATATTAACGTTACCTTATCTTCTCTTCGAGGTTCGTGAGCACTTGTTCCTTGGTTCTCCTGATGAGGAACTTCTGCAGCAGCACCTGCAGCTCGGCGAGGTTGGATTGTCCGGACATGTCCCAGCCGAAGCTCGTCTGTTTCCCGTTACAATACCTTTTCCCTGTAGACAAACAACAATGTAACTAAAGTCTTTGAGAGTTAAGGACAAATGGAAAATCTTCCAACGAAGTCGTCGTGGCCTAAAGGATAAGACGTCCGGTGCATTCTGTGAAGTGTAGACTCCAATAAATATAAAAAATTGTTATTATCTGTAGCACAATAACTCTTGTTTATGTAAAATGTCTATGATTGTAATGATTGCGGATACAATAAATAATATAAAGGATAATATAAAGAACAACGTGATTTTTTTCTCCACCGAGTTTTATTAAATTTTATCATCACAAACATTCTACAAGCCCATAAATCATCACACATTCGTCTTCAGCGATGCACCGGTGTTCGAATCCCGCAGGCGGGTACCACTTTTCTAATGAAATACGTACTTGACAAATGTTCACGATTGACTTCCACGGTGAAGGAATAACATCGTGTAATAAAAATCAAAACCCGCAAAATTATAATTTGCGTAATTACTGGTGGTAGGACCTCATGTGAGTCCGCACGGGTAGATACCACCGCTCCACTTATTTCTGTCGTGAAGCAGTAATGCGTTTCGGTTCGAAGGGTGGGGCAGCCGTTGTAACTATACTGAGACCTTAGATCTTATATCTCAAGGTGGTGGGCGCATTTACGTTATAGATGTCTATGGGCTCCAGTAACCACTTAACATCAGATGGGCTCGTCCATCCATCTAAACAATTTTGACTGCCAATTCAGACATAAAATACTTGATGTGACGGATATTCGAATCGCAACCTCAAAAAACTGTTCTGCTTACAGTAAACACAGTCGGTAGTCTGGCGCTCCGTTTACAACGGGATTTTTGAATGGAACTTGGCGCCATTTTATTGTTTAACATCAATTTTTTTTTTATTGCTTAGATGGGTGGAAGAGCTGGCAGCCCACCTGGTGTTAAGTGGTTACTGGAGCCCATAGAAATCTACGACGTAAATGCGCCACCCACCTTGAGATATAAGTTGTAAGGTCTCAAGTAGTTGCGCCACTGACCAAACTCGGTGTAGGAGGGGAACAGGTCGCGGCGGATGAGCGCCAGCTGCGCGTACAGCTCGGCGGGGCGGCTGAGCGCGGGCGTGCCGCTGAGCAGCAGCGCGCGGGCCCGGCGCCCCGCCACGCGACCCAGCGCCGCCACGCACCGCGCCCGCCCAGACTTCAGGTGGTGCGACTCGTCCTGGCAACACCGCCACATGTCAGTGCCGTTCAGTGGAAATGTCAAAAAGTGGGAGACTTTTTGGCGGGAAAGGGAGGAGCGAAGTTGAGCGATTTGTTTTATTTTGTCTATTTAGTGTTTCTTCAGGTTTAAATGTGTAATAAAGATGGTTTATTAACTATTTGATATCTGCGAAAGTACATAAATATGCACAAAAGTACCCCTAGGAAAAGACGAAGTAAATTTATTTTTATACTAATTCTAAGAACATCTTTGATTAATGTAAAATATAATACGAGTAAGTTAGTATCATTGTGAGTAAGTTAATGTAGGTAATGAACAATTGAGTGTAACATTAGACTCACAATAATGACAACACCGAAATTCTTGTTCTGCAGCAGCTCTGTATGCATGCTTGTCATTTTGTAACTCACTATCACAACTTCGGTCTGAAAATAAAAACAAATAATTCACAAATTTTCTTGTTTCTCACTTTATTCAGCTGACACAATAATATTACATTTACTAATTTAAAAAAAAAACATTTAAACTATAGCATTGGATATATAAAAAAAATATTGTACCTTGATCCTTATAACTTCTAGTATGAAGGAATATTGATATCATTCTAAGCTACGATTTGAATTAGGTAGTTAATGTGATTTTATAATATAATTGTCACTTCAATACCGGTTATTTAAAAAAAAAAAAAATTATCGTTAATGTAACTTGTGTTTAAAATCACTTCCTTCCTTCCTCGAGTCGTGTTCCTCATGTCTGAGGGTCGTGACCACCATCACCCATGAGCTTCAATCTTAGGATCTTTCTCCACTTTATGTAATTAAATAATGTAATTAAGTGATTTAACAAACAACAATGTAAAATCACTTAATGTAATTAAATAATTCTAATCAAAATTCATAGTTACGCTGGAAAGAATAACGCCATCTATCGCCAAATAGCCGAAACGAATATCAAAGGATTTAGTAACACCTACAATGCTCGAGAATAACAACGCCATCTATTGTCAGATAGGGGAAACACACATTGAAGGTACTCGATTTGAGAAATGTTCTCGACGATTCTAAGGATGCCGTAAAAGCATTGCAAAAGTACAAGCGTTCAGAAGAACTTATATTACTGATCAACTTTTATAAGCTTTGCTTATTTCATACGCGGAGCAAGCGTTAGACTTGTGATTTAAAAGGAAAAAATAGAGCAAAAATAGATTTAAAAGCATTCCCAGACAAAGAGCTGAATTCTTATAATACTGTCCATAGTACAACCAGCCACTTACCTGTTTATCGGCAATAATATTAACATCTTTACCGCTACTCAGGACGGCTATGTTCATCATTGGAACGGAAGGAAGCAGATCGTGAATAGTTCTCTGCCATGTTTCTCTGTAACAATTACTTTATTGTTTAGAATACTAAATTAAAATTATTTACTAGGTAGGACATGTGTTCCTGGAAAGAAGAGATATCATCCATCCTGCTTATGTCTGCTGTGGAGCAAACATGCACTTTGAAATGAAGAATGGAACAATGGACAAAGCTATCCTTAAGCTGGCAAACTTCTCTTTGTCCAGTAATTTTATAATATCAATTAGGTTCTGAGCTCGACATATCTAAGGCATTAAATAACGAAAAAAATACAGTGTTGCAGAAGTCATTATTGATTAATTGACATTTAATTTTTAAATTTGATTAACACAAAATATAAATTATTGTTACGCGCTGGGGTTTGGGATAAATAAAATTACACCGAAGTATAAACTAAAAACTGTACTCAACACTTAGAACACTTGAAATACTCAACAAACACTTTAAAACTCTCAATTCGCTTGTTTCGCTTCGCTTCAGGTGATCCGTTCGCTGTTTCGCTTCGAGTAGTTTCGGTTACTGACTGACTGCGTGCCATCTCTACAACGCTTTTATAGCCGATATCTCATCCCTAGAATTATCGAGAATATTCCACACATCTCTAGTGGTAGTTTCCGCTATCTGTCAATAGATGGCGTTGTACTTCTCGATCGTTCTAGGCGCTTCTAGGTCCTTCGATATGCGTTCGACTATTCGGCGATAGATGGCGTTACTCTTACCGGCGTAACATTATTATTGACAGCTTATTAATAACTAGAAATACTGAATGGAATCTCAATTTAGTTAGTATGAAATGGATGAGTAACATACCTCATTGAAGATGTTGTGACAATAAGAAGTGGCCATTCATGCCTGTAGTAGCTTGCTATGGCGAGTGCCTGGTAAGTCTTGCCGAGCCCCATGTCATCTGCTATCATACACCTACCGTGACGAGCTATGCCAAATCTAATGATAAAAAAAATAAACATTTCGAATTGAATGATGCCAAGATAGTATCTTCTCTTTCATTTTTTATTGCCTTTGCAGGCAGACGAGCATCCGGCCCACCTGATGGTGAGCGGTTACCGTCCCTCATGGACGTCAGCAATGCCAGGCGCAGAGTCAAGCCGCTACCTGCCATGACGCTGCCTTGTATTATGAGTACAAGATACATATATGGGACAATACAACCAGACCAACATCAAATACCTTTCCCAAAGTCTAACTAGAAATTCACTCTTTGTCAAATCACTAACTGAACTAACTTGTTTTGATTTCATTTACATTTTCAAGTAAGTAGGTCATGACATATTATATACACACAACCACACTCTGCTATAGACGAAATTAGAAAAATATACATACTCTTATGTTCAAAGATATTTCTAAATTTTAGAAAATGATTTGGCATTTTGGATTGGTTTTTTAAATTATATTATGGTGTAAGTGACTTTTTAATTAAACCAATTTAATTTACTTTTTACAATTTAAGTAAAATACCATTTTTTAGTTATACACTCTAATCAAAACAATAAGTAAAAATAAAAATACTTTCATTTCTGTGACCACACTGTGGTTTTAATAATGTTTACAATATATTTGATATAGCAAATTTAGATACCTGACACCATCTTCCTGAAATGGCAATAATTTTTGTCTGATTGTAGACTCTATTGGCATTAAATCTATGTTCTTTGGATCCACTGTTTGCTCTTTCAATATCTGAAAGCATAAAATATTTTGTTTATAGCCAGAACCTTAATTTTTTATTTTTTATTACCACTTTATGCAGAAAAAACAAGCATAAGGTCCACCTGATAGTGAGTAATCCCAGTTGCTCATGCACATCAAAATTCCACAAGCACAGTAAAACCACTGCCTAATTTCAATGACAATGTTTAATTTAATTTGTAATTTACTAATGTCATCTATATATTAATACATGAAGTAAAAATTTTGTACCCCTTTTTACAAAAATTGTGCAGAAGGAGGAGTATGAAATTTCCCACACTTATAGAGAATATAGAGAAGGAGTGCAGAATGTTAATATTTTTTGTAAATTACGCATAAAAATACACTTAATCAATAAAATTGACATTCCACACACTACCATGTATTTGACACACACACGCATGCATAATATTTGTTTATTGTCAAACTTTTCTTATTGCTTACAGTCTGTGGTCAAATTGAGAATAGATCAATATTGTATATCTTTATTAATATTTGTCTAAAGTGTAATCTTGGCAAAATCTGTGATTAAGGAAGCATAATAGTCTTTGACAATAGAATCATAATAGTGTACAAACTTATAATTTCAATTAATTATAGTCAAATTTCGATTACCGGGAGACTACTAGTATTTATAAATATCTGATAACTTAAGGAAAAACAATTATTTTTCTTCATTGTCTCCACCTTTTCGTAGGTGGTGTCGGTACAGCAAATTTTTCTGTTCCATTCTCCTCTATCAGTCGTCATCTCAACACTCACCCCTCTTTCTCTCATATCACCATCCACACACTCCATCCACGTCTTCTTCGGTCGACTCTTTCCCCCTTTCCTTTGCATATATATTCTAGTCTCATGCATCTTCTCTCTATGCATTACATGTCCATACCACGCTAATCATCTGCTTTCTAATTAATCAACCACTGGGCTACGCTGTATAGCAAAAAAATTAAGATGCTCTTAACTTCTTTATTTCTGAGCAGAGCTTAATTTTGCGTTTGTTGAAATGTTAATTTCAAAAGTTAAAATCATAAAAAGCAATCACTTTTCTAATTTTTTGTTTGTAGAAGCTTTATTTAATGGATTTAAATCAATTAATTACCTTTAAAACATATGGAGGAATGGCACCAAGCACAACATGAGGAGCTAATGGAGCAACTTTAGACATTAACTGATTGTAGTCTTCTATTGAAAAATTCCATAATTTTGTTTTGTCGGCTGAAATTAAAAGGAAAAGATATGTTACAGAGAGGTATGTAATATTTTTTCTATAGATAAAATTAATTTTAAAACTCACCATATATCCTTGACGGTATTGTTTTAAATATATTTATAAGCGGTGCACAAAATTCTGATGGATTCACTTCGAATCTGTCTTCTGATATTAAATATACATTTCCGGTGACAACTTTAGTCACCGGTACATTTTGGGTAGTTTGGTCCGATCTTGGTGTCAAATATGGAAGGTTTTTCTGCAAATTATCCCTTAAAGGACAAGTTTTTCTATTTAATTTATTGAGTGGACTAGTGGACGTGTTACTTATTTTATTTTGTCTCTTGTGTAATGCAGACAGGCGTTTTTTTTCTATTTCCTCTTTTGAACACAGCATTTTGAACGTGTCAAATATTCAAAAAATTGTATCTAACGTGGACTCAGGGACTGTGGATCAAATGCTATTTTCGATTCATTTCATTTTAAATTTTAGAGTTTACAATACGTTTACAGCTCTCAAATATATTAAGTGTTCTATGCAGGGGGGTGCAACTCCCATACAAAGGAAAAGAACATTCAACTAGCGTCATCTTTAGGAACCGGCGAGGTCATTTTTGAAACGTTTTGGCCTTAATGAACTAATAAACCCACTAGATGGCAGATACGAGTTCTGACTCAAAAAAAATATTAGCGTACTTTAAAGCAGTGCTTCCACTTTTAAGGAATTCTCCCTTTTTTAGGGAAAAATAGCTGATATTTTGGATGATAAAGACAATTTAAAAAATACCAGGATTTAGGATATTTCGGGGTAAAAAGCAAAGCCTATACTAGTAACTCTTGTGAATTTTAAAATAAACGATAATTAAAGTAAAACAATGAACATTTTATTTTATGGAGAGAATGACATTAAGTCGAGTTGACAAGTAAAAGAATAAAACAGAGTTGTGTATAAAAACTATAAAGAAGGTTTGATTCAACAGTAACCCTCTAGTAAAGTAAATCATAGATTAAGCCACTGCTTTTTTCTTAGGGATTCCCCAGAATCCCAATAAGTATAATCCGCCAAATTTTTATTTACCTATTTTCGTTGATGTCACCAGAACTTACTTGTATTGTAATATACAGGTACTTCATGTACCATGAAAGATTATCATGGTAATTTCATTTACGAAAACCTTGTAATTGTCATTTCACTTTTGCTAGCAGTTCCTTCTTCAAAGACTGAGGTGGAAAGATTATTCAGTGTTCTCAAAT